ATATCCTCGGCGGAAAAAAAAAAAATATGCTTGGCGCAATAAACAAATATCCTTCACTGTTACACTATGTACTATTAAATTTATTCAGCAATTGACCAGCAAAAATCAGAAATCATGGAATATAGAGATTTTCCTTTGTATCGATATTCCATCTGCATGATTTGTTGATGTAATTAATTAAATATGTAATCAGATATTTCAAAAGGCTATATAAATGTATACGTATATGAGAATTCCTATATATACATACATACACACACACACACACACACACACATGCACATATATATATACGTATATGTATATACTATTCTAGTATTTGTTATACTATATTAAAAAATATAATTTTATAAATATTATTAATTTCTAGGGTCCGGAAGGACCTGCAGGTCAGCAAGGTAATACAGGTTTGCCAGGAGAGAAAGGAGATATCGGTCTCCTTGGAGCGCCGGGTTTTGAAGGACCTATCGGACCTCAAGGTCCTCCTGGTTTGCTTGGTTTACCAGGCGAAAGAGGTTTACTAGGCACAGCTGGGGAGAATGGTCTTGTAGGTATGCCAGGAGCTATTGGACCTTCTGGAATTATTGGACCGATTGGTCCAAAAGGCCAGAAAGGTGATAAAGGTCGTAGAGGAATTAAAGGACATCGAGGCGAATCGGGAATTGTTGGAATCAAAGGCGATCATGGAAACGAAGGAGAGAAAGGCGATCGCGGTTTTCCTGGAACACAAGGATTCAAAGGAAATCCTGGACGTCCTGGTCATGTTGGATTTAGAGGGGAACAAGGATTTGTTGGTCTACCCGGACCATCGGGACCGCCAGGGCCAAAAGGTAATGTAGGAAATGACGGACTGCGAGGTGATATAGGTCCGGCAGGTCCGCCAGGCCCACCAGGACCCCCTGGCTTGTCAATAGAACAATCTACTTTTGACGGAATAATACCACCGATGACATATCGTGATCAATCAGCTAAAAGAAAACGTGATGCTCCAGAGGACATGTAAGAATTTTAATTAAATCTAAAATGAAAATTTTCATGAACATTTAGAGGTATCATTTTTACTCTTATTAGTCCTTTGTTTTTTATTATTTGAAATTTTCGAGAGTCTACTTACTGAATTATTTTTATATTTTAATTTTACTTTTATATTTCTAATTAAATTATAAGTTTGCATTTAGCAAATTTAGATTTTAGAATTGTAGAGAGGAACTTATTTTCTTTATCTATTTAGCGATGGAGAGGAAATATTTGACAGGAAGCTTTCAGACATAAACAAGGCTTTTTTAAATATACGACAGGAATTATATTTAATGCGTAAGCCAATTGGTACCAGAGACAATCCGGTGAGGACATGCAGAGATTTGTTTTACGGACATCCTGATTTTAAGGATGGTAAAATTATTCTTTCTTACGCATTGATTTCAATCACATATCTAATTTTCGAATACGTTATGATCGCTTTTTGGCGCCGTACGCTAGAATTTGCTTTTGCGTCTCAGTACTAACTACTAGCGTTTGAGAAATTTTTGATTACATCTTCATAATCAAAACTGTTCTCTAATCTTTTTTCAATGGATAAATTTCTTATTAGTTTTAATTTTGAAAAAGATGCCTCTGCAGTTGCCGTAGATGTTGGCACAGTTATAATAAAAGATCCGTATTGTCAAATTTAGAAAGATTTCCAGAAAACCATTTGCAGTTAATTTATTTAAAATGTCAATATGGTATTGAAATATGTTCTCAAGTTCTACATCGGAAAATATTGTTTTATATAGATCTATTTCATCAGTTCAATTTATTATTGTTTGATTTATTATCACATTTATATCAGAACGATTTATATTTTTGTTGTACCGTGTATTGATTTTAAAGTTTTGTATTTATTTAAAGTTATATCGGAAGCATTTATATTATACAAAAATTTGAAAGCACACGACAATTAAACTGTTTGAATCGTTCTTTCAAAGAATTTAGAACTATGTCGATGTAATTAAAAAAATGTATTTTAAATTTCTGTTTCGCATCCATAACTGGTTTCATCTTAACATTTGACTATTTCATTGTGAATCTATTAACTCTCGTACAATGAATATGTACACATAGATGTTAATATATGTAACAATTACATCTGTGTTTGCTTAGTTATTTTTTATCATTTTGTGTAAAGCTCGGTTTAGAAAGAAACATTAAAGATTTTATTATGTTTTGTGTCATACAGGTTGGTACTGGATCGATCCAAATTTGGGCATGCCAGACGATGCTATTAGTGTGATTTGTAATATCACAAATATGGGTGAAACTTGCATTTTTCCAGATATTCATAGTAGTCACATGCCGAGCATACCCTGGAGAAAAGAAGATAATAAAACTGACTGGTATTCACATTTACGTGGAGGATTTAGAGTAAGATCAATGAAATGTTGTATGATAAATTATTTCTACGCGGCTTTTTAAAGTTATTATATATTATCATTTTTAAAATATGTCAGTTAAATATATACTGCGTTTGAGACATAGCACAACCTTAATTGTTCCAACATTATTAAAAAATTGTTTGCATAAACAAATAAATAAATGAATATAAATTCACATAGCATATATGTAATATCACGGAATAACTTTTAAAACATTACAAATATCAATAAATTTTTTTTTAATATTCTTTAAAATAATTTAATTTTTCCCATATATGTTGCATAAATGTAAACGTTGTATAAATTCCATAGAAATATTACATAATATTATCGTGATATTTCAGTGATATTTCTGTTAGATTTAATTGTAATATTGTAATAGAAAAATGATGTTGCTGTGATATTACTGTGATATTATATGCTGTGTGAAAAATTACGAAGTCTAGAGTAGTTTGTAATTTAAAATGAATTTTATTGGAGGAAAATGATCATATTTTCTAGATAAGTTACGAGACAATCGGAGTTATTCAGATGAACTTTCTGCGTCTACTTAGTCAAGAAGCTTACCAGAATTTTACGTATACGTGCACGAACAGCATTGCCTGGTACGATGACGACAATCGCAGTTACAATCTCTCGCTGCGATTACTGGGTGACAATGGTGACGAATTCTCGTACAACAGTATCAGGCCTCATCTGATCTTCGATGAATGCAAAAATCGAAGTGATAAAAAGGAGACTCTGTTCTTAATTCGCACTAACAAGTTACAGCAATTGCCGCTGATCGATTTTTATCCAGTCGATTACGGATCACCGCAACAGGCTTTCGGTTTCAAAGTTGGCCCGGTTTGTTTTAAGTAGATCAATAAATTTGATCACATTATAACCTTTTTACAGCGTTTTAAAACACTTTTCAGTAAAATTTCAAAGTTTCAGAAAAAATTTAGTTCAATTTTAGCGATTTTTAGCTAATCATTCATTTTCAGCAAAATTTCAGAGAAATTTCAGTTTAACTTCGATCAGCAATCTTTGAGTACGTATTAATTGAAAAATTCACTTTCAGTAAAATTTCAGCAAATTTTCAACAATTTCGCTGAAATGTTTCAAAACATGGAATAATTTCAGCGAAATTTTTTCACCAAGAATAATTATACAATTTTGACGTAATTGATAATTAATTTCTGACACGAAAAGTGCAATTTATAATACGAGATTCTATTTATGCATAATTTAGGACGTAGGAAATTTTTATCGTGTGTTTATAACATATCATGGACTTTATATATGTAACATTTTTTTTTACAGTATACAGACTGATTTACAGGCGTTTTTATGTATATGATAATTTATATGAATAATACGCTTAATAATATATATATAAATAAAACAGCGTGTTATAATTATTAAATGTGCTCCAATTTATTTTCAAATATATATATATATACATATATTTCTGGCTCTCAGTCAGTAATAATTGATTTAATTCTTAATTTTTCTAGTTAATGTTTTTTATTTTTGAATTTGGAACGTATACTGTACGTAACAATATTGACTAATTGAATTATTGATATTTTTAATAATAAAATATTAATTCTATTTTTCTAAGATATATAAGTTTAATATTTTAATTTTCAATTATTGTATATTAATGTTAAAATTAATTGACACTATTTTAGTCAATCAGCGTGCGATTCGAGTCACGTGTCATGTTGGCGACTCTCTTATTACAGGCTCTCTATTTTGTACTATTTAAAGCCGTAATCACACTAGCGATTGCGCGATTGTGATTGACGATGGCTACGTTCAGCAGAAAAAGCAGCTTTGCAACTGTTGTAAAATTCTTGAATATGATTGGCTTATACATTTAGATCTAATGAGGAAATAAAGGCAAGACCAATTATATTAAAGAATTTTACAACAGTTGCAAAGCTGCTTTCTCTGCTGAACGCAGCCGATTATTTCTCAACCAATCGGAACAAAGCAATTGGTAACTGCTTTGTTCTGATTGGTTGAGAAATAATCGTCAATCACAATCGCGCAATCGCTAGTGTGATTACGGCTTTACTACCAGCGCAATTTCGGATTGGCTACTGCTCTTCCGTTTTTCAGTCAATATGTGAATTCGCCCTTAGGGTGCAAACACATGCAGCGGAATAGCGTAACGCGGAACGAGAGTAGAACCAATCACGAGATTCTCTAGAAACACGGAATGCTCGTTATTGGTCCTGCTCTCGTTCCGCGTTACGCTATTCCGCTGCATGAGTTTTCACCCTTAGGTATACACTATTTGCACTAATCCACTAATGTGAAGAAAAAGAACAAACCTTATATAGGAATACTTATGTCATAAACCGTTCTTGAAATAGCATCTCTGTCATATTCTCAGTGTTGACTCTTCGGTTTCGCTCTGATTGTATACAGTTACAAAAACGTTGAAAATAGTGTTATTTATTTATTTATGAATAAATGTCACGTTTATAAAACATACATTTTCATAACAAAAAACATTAAACAAAATACAAAAATATAATTTTCATAACATTAGTCTATACGCAAGCCAACTTATTTATCATTTATCTCTTGAAAATGATCTCAAATATATTAAATATAATTGTGGGTACTTCCAGTTTTGTATACACTTGCTACATTTTATGCAGACTGACATATTTCTTGTCAAGTTATGAAGATAATGAAAATTTACACACAGTATTAGGTATGTCTTTATTAAATAACTTCAAATTTTAAGTAATTTCCTATCAATAGTATATACAAATAAAAAGAAAGATTTACATACAAAAATCTTTCTGTTCTTATATTTTTTGCATACGTACATATGTATTTTTTGGATTAAAAATAATGTTTATGATAAAAGTTTTTCTAAGAAGAGTTTCTGAAAAGAGCGTTTCCTTAAACTTGCAATATGTATATAAACAACTGGATTGTTTTCAGATGACAATGTAGACAAATCTACTTTATGGTCTCTGCTAACAGATATGTTACTCATTACAATATTTATCTTTCAACACTCTATCATGACTAATGAACTTGCTAAACATACCTTCTGTAAGTTAAACATTAACTGTCTTAATAGGAGTATTTACAATGTCTGTAGCTCAGCAAGTCTCCACCTTTTAATTAATAAATGGCAGCAGACTCCAACTGTAACAATCTGGAGGTTTGACACTTCCAATAAAGCAATCTGGATGACATTTTCTATCCTCCATATATTTGCTTGGAGTGTTATTTACAGTGGATGCATTATGATGGACATTGCTGAGCTTTGTGGACTCAAGCAGATATGGTACAAAGTGTCTAACAAAGATGGTCTACTGGATACAAAATCTAAAGAGTTATGTAGATACATGAGACATATGAGGCATCCTAGTTTTACAGGATTTTTTATTATTTTGTGGATTTATCCCATTATGAGGTAAAATTTCATGAAATTTAATTTAATTTCTTTGCATCTGTTTCTTTTAAACTAAGTAACATTAATTTATAATCCATGCTAAATAATTTTGAGTATCTTTATAGAGTATATTTTATGTGATATCTACAGATTGAGAGAAAATTTAATATTTTAAGCAAATTCTGAATTGTGTAAAAACGAGTATAGAAAATAAAAGAGTTAAAATAACTGTGATAAATATAATTTTTTTTTACAGTGCAGATCGTGTAATATTGGGCACCATATTGACATTATACATGACATTATTATGGACAATAGATTCCGAAGACTATAATTATCACGTTAGATATTTCAGACAGAAACAAATAGAGTTGTCTTAATTAAACTTACATTTTGTATCATCTCGATTTTTCATGTCTCTAACATTTCTCTCTTAATTTACATTAATTTTGTATCACGTTTATGTAACAAATTAATATAAAATAAATATATTGTACATATTAATGTAAGGTAAATGCTTACTTTTAACCCCCCATCTCCCAATATTGACGAAATTAGGCTTACTTAAGCGTTTTGGTATGAAACGAAAGAATCTCAGAAAAAACGTTTATTTACTCCGCGAACCGAAAACGGTAGCCAATCATTATTATATAACTTTTACGGATAAACAGCAAGTTGATTGGCTACATATCTCTCGGTCCGAGAAATTATCGAAGCTGTAAAGTCGATTCAAAGAATCGATTGTACAAGTATCGAATCGGAATCGTTCATCATCACTATTTACAGCGAAGCATTCCATCACATAATCTGTAATCGACATCATCGTGCGATGTATCCAATGGCGGTATTTTGCTAGTAAAAGTAAATTTTCGTACAGCTTTTCGGAGACGGATATAAATGTTGATTTCAGAGTTGCGTGGAGACACGGCGCCGGAGTAACGGCACGTTGTCGTCATTATTCTCATCGTTGGCGATGCTGATCATGTAACGATATCCGACACACACACACACACGCACGCACGCACACACACACACACACACACGTCGCCAAGCCCACCTAAATTAAAAGTTAAGATATATCCGCCGATGTTATGTTTGGACATCCCATTTTAACGAAGCAGAAAATGAGCCGCCGTTAATTAATCACCAGTATCACCACGTTGCTGTGATAGTCTGCGATCTGCCGAGAGATGGGTTTCTCCACAAGTCTGCAGGGACAGGCGTCGCACGAGGCTCTTCTAGTCCGTCAGGATGCCGAGATCAAGCTGCTGGAGACGATGCGAAGGTGTCTCACGACAAAGGTCAAGTCCGACCGAGAATACGCATCTACTATTTCCTCCCTCACCATCCAGGGAAAGAAGTTTGAGCGCAACGAGGATCTTATTGGCAGCCTTATAGCACAGGTAGTTGAATCAGTCAAAGCTGTTTAGTAGAGAATGTAATTTATGAAAAATTCTTCAATACAACTGGTTTGTACATTTAGATCTTTTAAGGAACCAAAAGTAAATCAATCGTATTGAAGAATTTTACAACAGTTGCAAAGCTGTTTTAATTCCTCGTGAATTTATATACTAAGTATGTGTAGTTCTTTAAACTATATTCTAAAACAATTTTTTGGTCTTGAAAGTAAACTACTAAACTATCGCAGAATATTATGACTTAAATTGACTAGCATTTAGTAATGTTATTCTCTTCAAATGTTATAACTCTGTTGTTCAAGACTAACAAATAAGAATGCATTTTGCTTAAGGTAGAAATTGTAAGATTTATATGAAAAAGATCTTGTTTGTCTGAATATGATCTTCTTTGCTTATTTGAACAGGTAATTGTGTCAAGTTTTTACTACTAAAACTCTCTTGGCAAAATATCTTTGAATTTTGTTGTCTTGAAATTTTGTTTCCTGAATATGAATGATTACTGAAACTGACATATTTCATATGATCATTTACATAATAACGAAGTAACAAATTGGTTTTTGTTGACAATTTATTGTCAAAATATATTATATATTACGTTGGAAGGAAAGTTCTGTGGTATTTTATTAGTTTAAAATACTATATTTTACATTTAAAAAATTAGTGATTATGCCATTTGATAGAGCAAAATTTCAGCTTTGAGAATCTAATTTTTTAATTGTGGTATGATAATTTTTTACGGAGTTATAAGCAATTAAAATCAAACTATTTTCCTTTACTCGCGAATAACTCACAAACAAAAAATCATAAATATTATAACTTTAAGCTTTCACGTTACAGTTGAAAATTTTCATAAATTCTTTTTTGGTACATGACAGATCTACAAAGAAAAAAAGTTTCTCTTTTTTTCAGTTTATAGTTTTCTATATGTAAAAATTATCAAATTCACATAAACTGAAAAATTATAAAAAAATCCATTTAAAAGTAGAGATTCCAAACTGCAAAACCTTTTTTTTTTAAGATATTATATATATAGTTTTGAGCTAATGACAACCGCAGAACTTTTCCTTCAAACCAATATAAATTTTGCTACTAGAATGCTTAATACATTTGTTGTTAATGTTCATAATATTTTGCTTGAATTTGCTGACAAATATCTAGAATAATATGAATATTTTGTTTAAAGTAGATATCATTTAAAAAAAAAATACATTTATTTTTTGCAGAGTTGGAAAGATATAATGGACTCTATTGATCAAACAGCAAAATTAATTAAGCAGCAGGCAGATTCTATTGAAAATGTTGTAGATCAATTGAGTACATTGTACTCGGAAAGAAGGAGGGCCAGGAAGCTCTACCAAGAGGAACAAAATTGGCTGAATAATCAGTTTCAGCAGGTAAAGACGATAATATATGTTATGATATTAAAGGATAATATTATTGTAAGTAGTAAAAAAATTAGATGAATACTGATGTGATTATTATTAAAATTTTTTTTTAATTTATCCATTTGAAGCTGACGGATGATGTAACTAGGAAGAAAATGGAGTATCAGAAGAATTTGGAGATGTACAAATTAATGAGGTCACGATTTGAAGAATATTATGTTAAGTGTAAGTGCTTTATAAATTGGGTTGTTCAGAAAGTTTTATGATATTTATTAGCTCAAAATTATATACAGAATATACACATTTGTTGCGAAATGTTCGACTATTTGACATGAAATCTCCGTGAGATTTCAAGCTTCAAAACCCTTTGTTAAATTTAAATTTTGTTCATTTTTATGAAAATTTTATTACAATTTTGAGCTAATACCGCAGATTTTTTGAACAATTAAATAAAAATAATTTTAAATCATCAAATCTGTTATAATCATGCAAGAAGAAAGTGGTACAGTAATGTAATTTGTTTAGCTGGTAGAGGAGGCCGCAAATTAGACGAAGTGAGAGAAAAGTATCAGAAGGCGTGCAGAAAGCTTCATCTAACACACAATGAATATGTACTATTACTAGGTGCTGTGACTGAATGTGAACACGATTTAAGAACCTGTTATTTACCAAGTTTACTTCATCGGCAACAAGCCATTCACCAAGAATTCATAACTTCATGGTGAGTTTTATTCTTTTATTATACAGGGTGCCTCACCTAACTCGAGACCATCTGAAATATCTCTCGCTTGGTTTTTATATCTTTACCTTAATATACTTTTATGTGCAAAATAATTGGAGAAATCATATTATGTAAAAAAAAAATTATACAGTTCTATTTGAAAAAATGGAGTGGACCTTCATATCTTTTTAGCACTTCCACAGAAGAAAAACTTAACCGAAATACGTCTTCCTGGAGACCACTCTACTTTCTTCTAAAACATTTTTTCCTATCATAAACCAAACGAGATATTGTATTTCAGACGATTGGACATTCTGTATATATAGCCTTATATAATATCAAATAATACACTCCTGGCAAAATTCTAACTTTCTTTTCTCACTTTTTATCCTTGAAAAAATCTTAATATTTAATCTTGATTTTTCTATTTGTATGCAACTAGAAATGGAGAAGGTAAAAGTTTTATTATACAAATTAATAGTTATTATTTTACATGTACAAAATATTTAAATATCCGTTTCTTTTAGGAAAGGAATACTTCAGGATATTGTAAAATATACAGATTTTACAACAGAAAAATTCCTGGAGATTCATATAAAAGTGCTGAAGGCAGTCGATAGTATTAAGCCTATCGAGGAGTATAGAGACTTTATTGGAAAACATAAGTACATATGTAACATTATAATTATTTGTATACTTAAAAAATATTTATTTTAATACGAATATTGCAAATTATAATGTTAATATAGAACTAGACCAGCCTCTCCGATTAGATTTACATTTGATGAGAACCTTGTAGATGACACTTCAGGAAAATTGTTGCCAAATAAGCTGACTGTTGATAACTTGACTATAGATTGGTTGAGAAGTCGCCTCACGGAACTTGAAGGTTCTCTCAAAACTACGCAACAAAATCGACAGAGCTCACAGTTCCCGCAAGAAAATAATAGCGATTCTAGGTATAAATTTTTTATTTTATTTTATTGATATATATTCAGCACAGAATATTTATAATAAATATTATTAAAATATAGACTAAATATTTTATGTAATATTTATAATAAATATAAATAAATATTTTTAATAAATTTTTTTACTTGGATTACAATATTTCATTAAGTATATCTACTATTTCATCATAGTATTTATTATGAAATAATAAGTATTTCTTAATATTTGTAATAAATGTTTATGATTTGTGCAATCTAAGATCACAAATACATTTTAAAAATATTTAAAATAATATTTTGTAAATATTTTATAAAAATATTGTATGCTGTCTGGATAGTTACTAGGCATTAGTGCTAATGTTTTATTACAATCAAGTTCGATATTTGCTGATGAATAAACTTTTAAATGATGTGTATTCTGCAATAGGATCTCAGTTTTGGATTATTCTCGTGAAAGGGAAGAACTGAGATTACGTTGCCAGGAAAAAAAATTACAAAGACAAGTAGATGTCATTAGAGGTGCTCTCAATGAATTAGGCTGTGAAGAGTTACCTTCGGGTTGCGATCTTTCTATGGAAAGTTCTTTCACTGATTCACCTGCAATTAATAAAGTAAGTAGAATCTAAAAAATAATTTCTTCCTTTTTTACTAACAAAAAACTAAACATTTTGTTAATTATAATAGATTTAATATTAAATTCATGTAATTCTCTTGATGTAAGGCAGCAATAAATCTTTTGGCTTCAAAAAATGCTTTTTTTCATGTTTTTTTTTCTGGGTAAGATATATAAGCTACAAGGATCAAATTTTTTTTTTAATGAAAGTACGTATTTTTTACCACTAATTATACTCCTTTTTGCTAGGCCTTGCATGGCATGCAATATTTCAATACTCGAAATATCTCTGACCTGGTTAATCTGAAACAAAAAATTTGAAGAGTCTTAAAGTATGTTAAAATTTGTAGTCCCTATCGAATTTATTTTTTCGATTCTTCTTTATTTCGATTTCTTTATTTTTTACCTTTTTTCTTTTTAAGAAAATTGAAATTTTTATCGAAAATCGATTCTTTGAGTTTGAAAGTCCACCATTTTGTTAAAAATAAAAAATGTTTTAATCGCTTTCGATAGGGACAATTTTTAATATACTTTAAGACTCATTTTTAATTTTTTTGGAGACATTTCTGGTGCCATGAAATGCTGTGCAATACCTTGGAAGAAGGGGCCTATAGTGACATAAAATAAAAAATTGTGATTAGTAGTAAAAAATATATTCGTATACAAGTGACGGTATGCCCTTTTCGCCGGAGTCAGATTCGAGAAAGCATGAAACACCAAATTGTTTATAAACAAAACATATCTTTATTCCAAACACAATTACAACAGGTATAGGATTTATCTACCACTAGGTATTGGTGCGAGTTGATTGTACAAATAATAGATTGCTGAAATTATATACAGGCTGGTATGTGCATGCGGTCGCAAGCAAACGGTGTATAATATATACAAGTGGGTATAAATCGGACGGATGATTCGCCCGGAATTTAATGACGAGGAGGAGCGTATCATCACACAATTCTCAATCTTTGTAGCTTATGTATACATATATCTTTTTTAGAAAAAAAAACTTAAAAAGCATACTTGATGATACTATGAGACTTATGTCCCCTTAAGAACCAAGAAATAGATTTTTATAAAGGATGTTCCTAGAAATAGATTTTTATAATCAAACCTCAGTATCCACAAATTAGAAAAAATTACTTTGTAACTGTGACAATAATGTATCAAAATATGTTGATTACTCTTTCATTTAATACTAAGTTGCCTAGAATTATAAGTTAATTAGATCTAGCCCTTTACAGAGAAATACAGTCGCAGACAACGGTCTGTTCACACTAAGGAGAAATCAACGGTTCATGACAATATTAAAATTACCCTTTAAGTCCTTGCCGACAATTAACGACTCGAAAAACGGAATAATTAGGGCAAATAGTGAAGGGCCTACAGATAAAGCAGATAAAAATAGCCCCCCGGTTGTATGTGTTACATTTTACTCGTGTGATATCTGAGTTCTGTATTTCTTGCGCTCAGTCGATAAGATGTTTGATATATCTTGTGTTGTACTATGTAAAACTCATATACAACACATCTGCCCCAGCTTTTGTACTGTAATAAATTCTTTTATTATTATACTGTCACGCAGGACATATGCAGTATCTAGTTTTCTATATTGATATTTTTTATATTGATATTTTCTATATTGATATTTTTTATTACAAAAATTAGTGCAAGGTTCGCAAACAACTTTGTCTTGCTACTATATTTTATGTACAGAATTATGATTTATCATATAATTAGAAAATGTTGCATGAATGATGAGCGTATCATCTAGAATACATTTTGTTAATACTGAATTATGTTGTTATCCATGCTAAGCATGAAAATTCCATGCATGAGAATAAACATTTTTACATTAATATTTATGTACATTTGTACAGAAATAAGTTATATAAGACCATATGTGTACAGTATACAAGGTGTTTCAGAAATGAGTGGCTAAATCTTGGCATCATATCCTGCTCTTTCTAAGGATGAAAAAAATATCATATAACCATTTTTTGATATGGAAACTTTCTTTTGAGATATAAAAGCTTTTTGTTTATCTCAAAAGTTTATATGTATGTTTATATGTATACTATATATCACACGTAGAATTGCGAGAACTATTACTTTTTCTTTTAATAAATGTTGTGGTAGAGCTAATCATTCTGTTATTGAAGGCAACTTATGTGTTGTAATAATCAGCCTCTATTTAAATTTTTTAATACCTATCTATGTAAAATTTCGAGGTAAACAAAGAGCGTTCATATCTCAAAATAGTTTCCAAACTTATGTTTATAAAATCTTTTTTCATGCTTAGGGAGAGTAGAATACGATACCAAAGTTTGACCATCTATTTCTGAAGTACTCTGTATATGGCAGTAATTGAAATTGCAAAATATTATATTTTGTCCCCAATATATCGCTTGTTTGTTATAACAACGCAACTCAAAATTGTCATTTTTAATTGCTTGCAAAAAGAATGGAAATATAAAGGAAAAATAAAAACAACATACTTTCAATAAACATATTTTTAGGTACCATTACGTGGAATCTCGCATTTAATTAATAATCAAAAAAGTAACGGAAATGGCGGTCCTCTTATGGAGGAAGAATGGTTTCATGGGGTACTACCGAGAGAAGAAGTTGTAAGATTACTCGTAAATGAAGGGGATTTTTTAGTACGTGAAACAATGAGAAACGATGAGTGTCAAATAGTTTTATCTGTTTGCTGGGATGGGCACAAGCATTTTATCGTACAAATTACCCAAGAGGTAAGAACAAAATTCAAAGATTATACTAATGCTAAAATATATATAAATTTGTATAATAATTAAAAATATTTCTATAATAAATAAATATTAAATAATAATAATTAAAATTAGAAAGTTCAAATGTAATGGCTCAAAATTATTATTATTTGAAGGAATGGGATTATATTAATATACGTTATGGCAGGGACATTACAGATTCGAAGGACCGGCATTTCCATCCATTCAAGAATTAATCAGGCATCAATGGCTGTCTAGCTTGCCAGTAACTAGTCGGTCTGGTGCTATTCTTAAGACGCCAATTTTGCGCGAGCGATGGGAGCTTAATAACGATGATGTCATCCTTTTGGAGAAAATAGGTCGAGTGAGTTGACTACTGACAATAACTTTCCTGTATGTTATATATTGGTATGGGGAGAAAGGCTTTTTATATATAAAATATTTGTAATTTATATAACAGGATATAAAATATATATAATTTATGTAAAAGAGAGAGAGAGAGAGAGAGAGAGAGAGAGAGAGAGAGAGAGAGAGAGAGAGAGGACCTTTATTTTACAATATGTCGTTAAAAATGAACGAAATTTACATTTAAGAAAAGGATTTTAAAGCTTGAAATGTTTACTTTTAAAAGATTACTATATTTTTTTAGTTTCTCTGTGTGAAAAAAAATTCGGTAATTTTTCCATATTAAACACTACGAGCTGAAAAATTTTCTTTTCATTTTGTGAATCCTTTACATGCTCAAAAAAAAATTGCGAAAATTTTCAACTTTCATTATGAAAGCTTGAAGCTTTCTTTATAAAATCGTGTTTTAGAAATGTTCCTACAATTTTTTATTCCTGAGTTATTCGCGAGTTAAGTAAAGGAGCATTCTAATTTTATTATAACTCCATTAAAAATCATCATACCATAATTTAAAAGAACATATTCTAAAACTTGAAACTTTGCTTTATCGAATGATGTAATTGTAATGAAAATTTCGCAACAAATAGATTGGAGAAGATTCTTTTCACATATATGTAAAAGAACTTTTCTTTCAACTTAATATATACTGTGATATATATGATGTCGTCAATGTGATCATAGGGAAATTTTGGAGACGTTTACAAGGCACAACTGAAGACTTGTAAGACTGAGGTGGCTGTGAAAACATGCAAGGTAACGTTACCGGACGAGCAAAAACGCAAATTTCTACAAGAGGGGAGAATATTGAAACAATATGATCACCCGAACATAGTTAAACTCATCGGTATCTGCGTTCAAAAGCAACCGATCATGATCGTGATGGAACTGGTACCTGGTAAGCCATAGATCTCATTACGTTGCGTTATGCTAATATTATAACAGATATCATTAACATCTCTAACCTTATGCTATCGCATTAAAATACGAAATTGAAAATCTACTAATGTATACATTATACGATAGTCTACACGTTAATCGCTAATTCTAGGTGGTTCGTTGCTTACATATTTACGGAAGAATGCTAGTACAATAACACAACGGGAGCAACTGCGTATGTGTAAAGATGCTGCGGCTGGTATGAGTTACTTGGAATCTAAGTATTGCATCCATAGAGATTTAGCTGCTCGCAACTGCCTCGTAGGTAAGGGTCTCTTTCACCAATCTTCTTTTTTCCTCTAGGCCATATAGACTCATATGGGCGAATCACAGGGCCTTGAATTTTAATAGTTCCAAGGATCCTGTGAGTATCCCCTACAGGGAGAATAGAGGTCTCACTTTTTTTTACAATAAACTAAATTTTAAGACGGGAAGGAGTAGAGGAAGACACTAAAAGAAATGATTTAAAAATGGTTAAAATTGATCCTGAATAAACATCTTTAAAACCTATGCAGTTGTCATTTTAAAAGTCTGTACCTTTGTAGCAAAAAGTTCATTTACTCAGGAAAGCTTGCAAAACGTTTCAAAATTAATTAAGTACGTTATTTAAACTCTGCAAAAAACTCATTTTGTTTTTAATGAATGTTGATAGATTTCGTAATTAATAGTGTGTTTATATTTAATACATATTATTGTAGGGTTCAGTATGCGATGCACTTGTTGGCCGATTTTTAATTTGGTTTTTCAAGCTTTCCTAAGTATATAAATAAGCTTGTTTTCTATGAATATATACTTTTAAAATGACAACTGCATAGGTTTTAATTAAAAGGTTCATTCTTCAAGGATCAATTTTGACCGTTTTTAGATCATTTCTTTTAAACTTAATAATAAGTTAAGCAATATAATAAAATATATTATATATTTTATTGCCTCAGGATATGAATGCATAGTCAAAATTTCTGATTTTGGAATGTCGAGAGAAGAAGAAGAATACATAGTTTCAGACGGTATGAAACAAATTCCCATTAAATGGACCGCACCAGAAGCTCTAAATTTTGGTAAATAAATTTATATCGTCAAAAGTTTTTATCATCTTGATAACGTTAAATATTTTATTGTTACCACTGATATATTACGTCGTATCTCTCAGGTAAATATACATCGCTCTGTGATGTTTGGAGTTATGGAATTTTGACATGGGAAATATTCTCCAAAGGCGGCAATCCATACAGTGGTATGTCTAATTCACAGGCACGCGAGAAGATAGATGCAGGTAAAAAAAAAAGAATAACAGATACCGATGGAATTAACTATGGAGAATATAAGTCAACAATATTTAAATTAAGAGCTTATGTTATACGAGATGTGTGTACTAAGTATGCTGATTTTAAGGAGAGATTCCTCACACAAATTCAAAACAAACTTTATATATTCAAAACAGCTTAATTTCAAAGATATAGAGTGTTATAGTTGAATGAAAAATTCGTTTTTTTTTTTACAAAAGTTTCGACAATCACTCGAATTATTTTGATGAATTTTTCTAAATGTACTTAAAGTTTCATTAAAATAACTCGAATAGTTTTCGAAATTTTTGGAAAAAACAAAATTTTTCATTCAAAACTTTGACACTCTGTACCTTTGAAATTAAACCGTTTCAGACATGATTATATGAAGTTTCCATCGTTCCGTAAAGTTTTTGAAATCTTTTAGCATACTTAGTATACACCTTGTATCTGTAAACATTTGTTTTACGATTATTGTATTCTGTTAATTTATTTGACACATTGATTGCGTCAGGATATAGAATGCCAGCTCCAGATGGAACACCTGAAGAGATCTATCGATTAATGCTGCGATGCTGGGATTACGAACCAGAAAAACGGCCACATTTCGATCAAATATTCACTGTGGTCGAGACACTGACACAAGCATATTTATAAGTATTATATTACGACTATTTTATGGTCAATACGTTTAAATTGGTCATGAAAATCCTCATGATAACAATAATAATTATATATAGTGTACACATATACATATACATATGTAGGTTGCTTTGAAAATTTCTGCAAGATTAGCATTAAGCGTTGTGTTACTTGAAAATCGTACGATTAATGCTGAATGGTACACAACAATTTACGAGTTCCGAAGAACCACCCGACCGGTGCGGACGCGTTTCGGATCGGGTGCTTTTTTGTATATTTTTGAAAGTGTTGCCGACTTTAACTGCGCGTTGATACCCACATCGATGTGTGTCCGGTATTCGTATTCGATTAATGGCACTGAATCCCAAGAACTGGGAAATTATACGGCCAGAACGAATTCAAACGAATAGATTCTATGTTCAAACGAGTAATCTTACATGCTCTTAATCAAGCAAACGAAGTTACTCTACCAAGTAATCCTCAAGCGGACGAGTTTATTCTACCAAATTGAATTGAAAATATATGGGGAGCAGGCGGATTCGAACCCGGATCCGCAGATCACGAGTCCGTCGCCTAACGTGCGGAGCCACACGACTCCCCGATGTGTGTCCGTGGATGGCTCAACTCGGTCATCCGTTCTGACGCGCGTTAATGCGGCGTGACGACGTCGTAGACGCAGGCGCCCGGTGTTCGTTCGGGTCACGCCATTTTCGCGGGCATTGCATCACCCTCTTTGTTTTCACAATTCGTTTTGTATACGTATTATATCTTTTGGTACGACTGGCCACGAAAATCCGTTTACTACGGAACCTGGGCCATTCAAATTTAGAAGAAGAAGAAGAAGAAGAAGACAACAATTTGCCTGTCGATATTGAAATTTATTTGAAAAAATTCATCAAAATCGTCCAAGAGATCGCGCATCATCTTGCATCAAGACAATGCATTGTCATACAATGCAGAGGAGACAACCAGAGACAACTCAGTTTTTGACCACTGCCCATGTACAATTAATGACTCATCTGCTTTATAATCCTAATCTGGGCACCTCATGACTTTGTTTCCATGCATCAAGGATAAAATACGTGGTTCGAAGTTTAATATGCCAGTTTAATATGCGGCAGTGATGAAGGCGTTCGAAAATCTGATGTATGAGATGCTTTTAGAAAGATGTTCAAAATGCTTCGACGACTGGTTTTATCAAATGGAAAAGTGTATTCATAACGAAGTATAGTATATTTTGAGAAATAATAAAACCTTTTGAGTAATAATAAAGCCAGAAATTAATTATACGTTTGTATATGATTTTGCGGAAACTTTTGGAGCAACTTACGTACATAGCTTATTATACATAGCTTCGAAAAAATATGAAATGCTCACAACCAAACCGTATTTTATCTCAAATACAATGTATCAAGGAAGAATATGATTAGCATAATTTTTGTTTGATTCGTAAAGAGATATTTTAGGTCCAATTTTTTCTATTTCTGTTTAACTTGTAATTATATATAGGTTTAGTTTGATGTTTCATCCAATGGGCTTCGTCTATGATGATGTCATGAATAAAGCTCATTGGGTTAAGTTTAATCACAAATTGACAAGATAATAAAAAAGTAGACCTTAATATATTAGATTCTGGAGGAGAAACCCGTTTGCATACAACTTAATTGCCTACATGCATTGTTGCGAATAAATATACCCAGATAGTCAACATGCAAAAGTCAGCTGAACAGACTGATTTTCATGAACAACATTCCTGTACCCGTTCTAAAAACACAAATTGCATTACACACAATATTTTTGTTTACAAATCGATTGTCTACAAGCTCTTTTGCGCACAAATAAAAATTTCAGAGACAGTCACATTTGCACACAAATATTACTGCGTACAGATTGACTGTCTACAAGGGATCCACTGATGATGGGACCTACAGTTTAATGTTGGACCCAAATGGAGCTGGTGATCAAAGATCTCTTATCATCAGGTGGAACCATTTCCAGCTCTTTTGAAAAATTGTGTGTGTGAGGACAGGTGGGATTGAACTCGAATCTATAGATTGTGAGTCAGTCGCACTGAGCGGTAAGCCTCGACGCCTCATACAATATACTAACAATAATAAATATTATGCATAATGTATCAAAAGCAAAATCATAGCATTGCTGCTGGTAATAAACATTCATTCATATTTTTGTCTTTAATAATGCACTTTATTCGTCTTTCTCCTTATCACATTAATAACTTTTAATTGAGAAATGACACTGAGGAATTGGATATTAAAATGCATTTTGATGAAAACAATATGAGTGAATGTTTATTACTATCAGCAACATACGTTAGAGCTTTGTTTTTGATACGTTCTACCTTGCGTAGGGGTCTGTTTAACTTTCTCAATTTTCATTATTTTTTGTATATTGTTTCACTTATTTAGTAAGGCGAAGATTTAATAAATATGTTCAACATATACCCTTCCTTGCGCAGGAATTTGTCTAATCATTTCGATATTTATTACTTTTAGTGTATTGTAAACTCATCTATTTAGTAAGATAAAGATTTAATACATTACATGTAGTAACAATTACAAATCAACATTTTTATCAATCATTATCAAATTTCTTAGTGAAGCTCGTATTCCAAAATTATTAGTTAAGTTTATATGGGTGCGCAAAAGTGCTTAAAAGAGAGAGCAATCGATCTTTATAAATAATAATATTATGTATGCGATGCAATTTGTACGCAATAGTGTCGTGTGCCCTTTTTCTTTAATTTTATATTTGTGCGCAATAAAATATAGGAAATCGAGCTGTAGACAATAATTTTTGTAGGAAAATGGTTTTGCAAGTTATCAATTTGTAAGCAGACGGGGCCTTCCTAATTCTGATTAAATGAAGTAAATTTGAACACTTTCGCAGGCGATAATTTTATTTTTTTTATTTACTGTAAAATAGAAGTAAAATAAACTTAAATTCAGTTGATTGCTGCGCAGGGTTCTATTAAAATAAGAAATTAATAACATATTAAAATAAGAAAAAAATCTATAAAATTGTTTTAATATATTGTGTTTAATTATAACTGTTTGAAATTGAAGGAATTTACTTGTTACAAATCCAAACAGAAGGAATGTTAAATTTGAATATGAGGAATGTTAAAATTAAAAAGTTTTTAATTTATTATATACATATTTACATTTTTTAACAAACATTTTTAACACTTAATATGTTTAATCAAACGTTTAAACATAAAAATAAAATAAAATAAATATTTTTATATAAAAAATGTAGACTTTTATATACAAGGTGTCTCACACTACCGCATTTTTTTAAAAATAACGTATTTTTGAGATAATTTTATAATGAGAATCTTTTTACAAAAAGACATAATCAATTACAGTTACTAAAAAGACAATTACATAATACATTAGTGATTGTGAATGTGTTAATTACCGATAAGATAAAGAAAATTTAATTATTACATAAAAATTTTAAATATTTTAAAACAAATAAGATGAAAAATGATACAAAAATAAGAAATCGGTAGATGACCTACGAAAACATAATATGTGCAGAAAACGACAAAAAAGAAAAATTATTTTTAATTATTCTTTGTCATTTTCCTTGATATGCTGTCTTTGTGCGTGCGTGCGTGTCATCAGTATAAAACATATGTATACGTCATTGTGAAATCGTGTCAGTGTGAATGCCATCGCTTATATTTTTTATTCGTAATATTTAATTATGAGAGGAATCCGATAGTGCACATCGCTAATTAATCAATTTAAAATAAAATATTTTTATTAATTAAGTGAAAAATTGTTATTAGACACCGGCTAATTTGAGTGGATGTGTGCTAATGGATACCTCTCTTAAATTATTGTTTTATAAATTATTATATTTCTCCGTCCGTGCATACAATTCAATTTCCCTATAGGTGCATAATATTATTTAATATTCAATAATATTAAATTGGAGAAAGCCAATTTTACATATATGTAAAAGAACCTTTCTCCAACTCACAATTTGTTTATGATACAATTAAGAATTTGTTTTTGTAATTGCGGTATAATAATTTTTAATGGAGTTATGAGCAATCAAAATCAGAATACTCCTTTACTCAACTTGCGAATAACTGACTTTGACAACCGACTTTGACTGTACTTTTGTTTTCAATTTTTCGGAAGTCCTTCACTCGTCTGCGCGCGGGGATGCGGAGAACGTTTTACGTGCACCTTTTGTGTATAGATAATTTAATACATATGTTTGTCTTTTTATTACGTATATAATTATAACATAGTATGTAGACTTTATTTATTCAATTTTACCGTCGCTATGTATTTTCTTTAATATTTTGTAATGTTTCTCGGATGTATATATAATGATCATACATAAATTGTATAGACGCGTATTGAGACGTATCTTATATTTATTATAAATTTATTATAAATTTTTCATTAAAATTAAAAGTATACAGTGAAAATATACTTATAATTTTCAATATGAAAAATTTCCGGCATGTTCAAGAGGGTTCTACAGGGTATTTCAGACTCGATACATCATCTGTTAATGATAGATTCCTAAAATCATTTTGAGGCAAAAATTCCAATATCAAAATATCTAGGCTATAATAATTTGAATGACAGGAATCAAAATGACAAGAATTTGCGTGAGATAATGTAGTAGTGCGCAATGTGTGAGTAAATCTATTTTCTGTGGCTACAGTAGTGTATACTTTTAAGAACTTAAAGTGAGATAGACATATATATATATATATATATATATGTTTGATATTCGTCGAAAGCGAGAAAGAGAATTCTAGTGCAAGAACAGAAAATAGACCAAATGATACAGAAACCGTATGTGTTAAGTATTACTGAATCAGTAAAACAGACAACTTTAGGATCCTCTTTGGGAGAATTTGACGAAATTATTGACAATTTACAGATTCAAATTAACTTTACAAAATTGAAAACTCTTTTGTGTTTAAAGTACATACATACAAGAATAAATCGTGGGATACTATTTTCTTAAACTTAAGAAAAAATTTATTTTCATGTGTATTTTAAATATATAAGAGGATTTTCAATTCTGTAAAGTTAATTAGAAGAAAATCTAAATCTCTGTAATGCCAGTAAATTTTGTCATTCCAACATCCCGTTAAAAATATATAGGAAGGTATGTAAAGGTATATATAGAAGGTATTTAAACAATATATTTGCATTATCTCGTATTGTATATCCATTTAATTAATATTTGCGTGGAATCTTGTTAAATAAAAACACGCGAAATGTCACGGAAAAAAACTAATATCGTTGATTTTATGTCTTTAAAGGATACTTTAAGTCTTATATATAAGTCATTAAGAGAGAAAAAGTATAATTAAGAATCTTATAGTATATAATATTTTAATTATAAGAGCTCTTTTCTTCGATGAAAGAGAAAAGAGAAAGAGAAACAAATTCTTATATTTATAAATTATGTAATATATAATCGTGATGAAAATGATATGTAAATGCATGTATCCATTTGTAGTTTATACGTATAAAATTGAAGAAGTTAATTACGTTTAACACTCAAAGTTAATGATCCAAGATTCTTGTAATTTAAACGTTTTGTTTCTTGTAATGTTTTTATTCAAACGATATGTTATACATTGCACGCAAACGAGAGGTCTTTATGTATATAGATTACATAAGATTCCTTTGAGTCCATTTTAATATGTTATAACATAATGTAATCTTCATATAAACACAGTTTATTATTTGTTATCTTTTACGTGCAATTATGTGAAAGACATTTATGTTGTTTCTATATGTAAAATACTCAGTAGTATTGTGTGATAAATAAATAAAAATTAAAAACAATAAGAAAAAATCCAAGCAAAAGGAAATACGCGTGCTGAAAATCGTACACTAACATTTAAAAAAAAAATCTCTTTATCTTACATTATTATAAAATTTATTATACAAAATGAATGTTAACTACATTCTTTTGAAAAAATCAAACGTTTTGATTAGTCTTTTAATTTTCCTCAATGAAAATTAAAATGCTCGCAATATAATATTTCAAAATTAAAATAAGATGTATTTTATCTCTCCAAGGTGGATATAAGTAAAAAGACTTTCCAACCCAATATGTTCGATATAAACAAAATTCTAGTACTATCTAGTGTAGGAATAAAACAGATTTTTTAAATTTTTACTCAATTACAAACACCAAAGGCAACTTCTCTATATTTACATTACTAAATGTTATCTTCGAACATTACATTTACATCTAACATCATTAAATATATAATTACAATATTGTTTCCGCAAACTCATTTTTATTAAAAAAATAGAGATTGCGTAGTACATACAAACTTTTGACTAGTACTATACATACATACACCCGCGTATTTTTTATATACGCACATTTTTTTACGAAAACATACAACAGACATTTCCACTTTACCTTTTCACTTTTAGATAGACAAAACTTTCACATATTACTGACTTAACTATTATATTGTTCTTACATTATATCGTGACTCGTAAAATTTAGAAAACTCATCACTCAGAAAATTCTCCAAATTATAAGTATAATTTTATGAGTTCATCACTAACAGCTGATGGTGTTAGTATTCCCAAGTCCGTAAACAACAGACTGATGTAGTGAGGTGGAGTATAATCTACCAAGGGATGCTCCTTTTTCAAATTCTTGCTTAAAAGTACACTGTATGTATACTACAACAAACAGTAATAATGCATTTTATGGATATGTAGGAAAGATTTCTAGATTGTTCTTATACAAAAGTTATAACTGGTTTGATATCAGTGTATAAAAATATAATTTACCTTAAATTCATTAGGTAAATCTACTTGATTCAAAGGATAGATTCTGGAAAATTTAAAGCTTTCTGTCAATACATAAAATGGTTTCTTCACCTCTTTAGCGCATATAGCCATAGTATATGTGCCTATCTGTAAAAGAAAATTGAAAGAAATACATACATAAATGACAAAAATTATATTGCCATCGAATGATCATATACCTTATTAATCACACCACCGCTTTCCGCAACGCCTTCTGCTCCAACCATCACCATATCTACATGTTCCATTACGTATCCCACTGCAGAATCTAGTATCACTGTACATGATATTCCCAACTTTGTTAAACTCTGGCACATCTCTTCTCTGTTGAAAGGAAAAAGATAAAATTAAAAAAAAGAAAAAGGAAAAGCTAAAAAAACAAATTAATGTTTATAATAACAGAAATAACACAAGACATGTATTTTATTATTTAAGAACTTCATACATACCCATTATTATCAGGTGATGTTGATGTGACATATACTTCAAATATTTTATTACTTGCCGCAGCTTCCTTCATTGCTTGCAGCACTACTCTTGATTTTGAATGCGTGAGTATAGTCTGATAAAATAAGACAGTAAAAGTCAGAAAATAATGGAAATATTTCAAATAATTAGGGTTGCCATAAATTTTTGTTGATAGAGCAATTTAACATAATAGTGTAAATTATTAATGTTGCTAACACTGAATTTAATTAATGTCAGTTAGTAGTATTTTTTATCTTTTTCTTTTATGTAATGTATGAACATAATTTTTTTCTTCTTTTTCTCTTTCTTGCTGATGTTTTTAGAATATAAGGAACATAAATCAATGAATACAGATTATTTTTTATTAAAACTACATCCTATTTATTAAAATCTCAACCTGCTATTATAGACGCGTTACCATATTTGAAAAAAATCACAAAAATATGAAGTTAATTTTATTTTACTCTCACTTGTTTATAAGTGACACAGAAAACTTTCTTATATAAAACAACAAAAGAACAGACAATCTTAAAATTTCGATGTTCTTAAGTAAAATATTAAATCTCTACTAAAGTTTATATTAGTGTTTTTTAACATAAAAACTAAAATTTCAAATCCTTAAAGAAAACGTAAGTACTGCAAATTTTTGCAAAAAAAATTGACTCTTAATGGAATGTTGATAATGTCAGTAACATTATTTCTTTATTAAGAACATTTAGTTCATTAGTTTTCTAAGTCAAACGTTTTACTTTCTTAACAGTCACTTTATTTTTCTAAATAATTTTACAAAAACCCTGACTTTTTCATGAACTTCCCTGACAATTTTTTAATTCCCTTGACTTTTCCCTGATTTCCCTAACTTGTGGCAGCTTTGAATTAATTTATGACTTTCCTTACCGAGCCATCAGTAATAAAGTGTGCTGCAACCTTAGCTACTTTTCCTCGAGCTGCAACTAATTTTTCATAAAATACTTTTCCTCTTTCCAGCATAATTCCTTTACATTCTGCGATAGACTAATAAAAAAATAAGCACATTAACAAGTTTCAACATTTTAAAACTAAACTTTAAGGAGTTTCATTATTTTAAGGAATTTATTCTTAAAGAGTATAAAGCAAAATTTAAACGTTAGTATTCTTACGGGTGTATCCAATGTCGCTAACGTGATAAAACGGAGAAACAATTCACTTCCTGAGGCAATTGCGGTGACCGGAGTTTCTGTGGCGCGCATAGCGTCAATTGCATGCTGTAAGCAGATCCGAAGCTCCTGAACTGTCTCTGCTACAAAAGCAAGAAGAGCACATAAGAGATAATTCTGTATATGCCTTAATGACCAACTGTCTCAAATTAGGAGGGATAGTCTCAAATTTCAACTTTTCATCCAAATTTACAACGCGTTCCAAATTTTGTCCAAAATTATGGATTATGAATTGCCCCTCTTTTAAGTGTAAAAATAATTTGCTCCAATTTTTTATGTGTTTGACGCGATCATTTTTGTGCTGCTCCGTGAGAAGAAATTGTATCCTAGCTCAGTTTCCAAGTACCCTTGACAATACTTACATTTAGAATGTTTCAATACTTTCAATAAGGTGCGAATGGCAGCCATTCCAGCAGAAACGTCTTTCTCATTTTTTATAATACTGTTGAAATATTGGCATATTTCTGTGAAAGTTTGTCAAACGATTATTTTTAGATTCTTATTTGACAAGACTGTATACTTAATACCCTCTATTACAATCTTGGTGAAAATTTTTCGGCAATTATTTGTTTTAGTTGCTTTCTTTAGTGAAAAAATTTAGCCGATATTATTCCATGTTTTGAAACTTGCCGAAATTGCTGAAAATTTGCTGATATTTCACCAAAAGCGAATTTTTCAGCTAATATACTAAAAAATCGCTAAAATTAAATTGAAATTTCTCTGAAATTTTGTTGAGAAGGAATTTTTCAGTTAAAAATCGTTGAAATTAAAATTTTTCTGAAATGTTGAAATTTTGCTGAAGTGTTTCAAAACAAAATAGATAATAGAATCGACGTCGAATTGACATCAAATTCTTGGCTTTACAAGCACAAATTAATTGTTTTAAAAATTAACACAATTTTAATGCTTTGAAAACATGAAATAACTGCCTTAAAAATACAAAAGCACTACTTTGAAAATCACTGCTTTAAAACCACAAAAGCACTGCTTTATAAACAATTCATTACTTAAAAAAAACAAATTCACTGTTTTAAAAACACAAAAAAACACTGCTTTAAAAATACAAATTTACTGGTATAAAAACAAAAATTCTTTGCATTAGGTACCAATGAATTTGTGTCTTTAAAGCAATAATTCTTGTTTTTAAAACAGTGGATTTATGTTTTTAAAGCAGTGCTTTATGCTTTTGTATTTTTAAAACAATGTTTTTGTGTTTTTAAAACAGTGATTTTTGTAGATTACTAATCAATGCACTAGCAAGTGCTCAAGGATGCGCCGCTTTGCATAGTTGAGTCGAATCGAATTGAGTTTGCTGAATGCGACCATTTCGTTTTAATATAAATGGTCCAGGTCCTCGATGACAAGGTAAACTTGGCTAAACTTGCTAGGCACAGTCGAAACCGGCAACGCTTTCCAAAAATGATAATGCAACACTCGAGACAATTAAGGCAAATCAGCGACTATTTAGTCGGCTGACAGATATCTTAACCTCTAAAATCTCGAACTTTAACGCTTGATATCTCGGTTCCCGAGGCCAACGGCCGTATTTTTTTCGTCAGTTTCTTTCATTTTGAGTGAAAACGCGTTGAATGAGTGTATTTTCATTAAGATTCTAGGTGCGGGGGGAGGGATATTCTAAATAATTACCGAACTTTTTTCACCAGGGGATGTAAGAAGATATAAAAGTACAACGCTGATTTCATGTACCTTCTTTGTCCATTGTGATCTGTTATTTTTGGATAAATGATCGAAACGATAATTAATGAAACAGATGCAGGTTCACTTTACAATACGTTATATACACAAAAATGTTGCATACAATACCACGTGCTGTCAACTGCTATCAACATCGAAATTCGAAACACCTGACTGACACTAGGAACATAAAGTACGTTCTGAATTAAGCCCTGCGTCCACATAGAAATCGAGCCAAGATCTCGGATAAGGGCTGAGCACCAAGAATTGTCATGGATTGTCGTAACTGTTTTCAACACAGTCGTAAGTAAACGCACAAAGATTTGTCGTAACTGACAGAATCGTAAGTCAACACAAGGATCGGTATAACATAACATGATTTGCAATCAACAGAACCTAAACGTAGTCGTCGAGGATAAGATACTCTCGATCTATCTGTCAAACAGATCAGTGTGAAACTTGTTGCTTGAAAGTCGATCACAATGGAACGGTACGATATCTTGATCCAGGAGATTGAAGGCATCGACGATTATCTGGGCCCAACATTCCGGTAAGTAAAATTAATGGCTCAGACATAATAGAGATCCCAGATCAAAGTACGCGCTCTATCGAAATTTACCCCCTTCACGCAGATGCAATAATGAGCTCGCATATGCGCACTCGAGGGGGTGGTATCCCTTTAAAGAGGGATGACACTATAGACGTGTTCACCGTGTATAACTCGTACCCTCGTACGGATTTTTCGAGGAAATCTGCAGTCGCATTGTTATTGAAAATGTCAATTAATTTGTCACAAAATCTGTCATCGATGGTGCCGAAGCACGAATATCTACTTTATGAAATAGAATCGACTGACACTAATAGCATAGGTCTCGTTTTCAGGTATTATCAGGATAGCAAGTAGTGGACAATATAATTTAGAAAGGAGTGACAGAAATGAAAAATGGATTCAATTATTAAGATAAAACAATAATAAATATGTATAAGAACTGTAAGCTAAAGCTAGATGCTATTGCTAATTATTAAGTTGGTGTTTCGTTTGATCTGAATTTTAAATTAATAATTAGCATTAACATCTAGCTTTTTGGCTTATATATATTTATTATTATTATTTAGAAATCCATATGATTAATATATAGCAAATTCAGTCATTTGTATTGCATTAGAACGGATTAAACTGAGCCGAAAAGTTCTTTACCATTTTGCAACTTTGCAATAATTAACATATTAATTAATAAAAATTATCACATATTGGTTTTTAATAATTTTTCACCCAAGTACTATCAACTTGACAGAAAAACAGCAAGTGAAAAAAATTGTTTCTTCTTATAGTTTGAAAAATTTTTTCAGAATTTTTTGTATAGTACCGTACTTTCTCATGTAGGTATTACTAATATTAAAATTTTATTAATAAGAAAATACAGTACTAAAAAGATGATATAAAATTCTGAAAAAATTCTTAGAGTTCTATGAGAAAAAAATAAATAAGTTTTGTCTTGCTGTTTTTCTGCAAAGTTTATAGTACTTGAATAAAAAATTATTGAAGACCAATATTCCACGATTTTTAAAAATTGATATCTTGATAATTATTGTAAATATTGCAAAATGGTAGATGAGACTATTTGATTCAGTCTAGTTTGCTCTAACAGCACACGAAATATTTAGCGATTATTCTGCAACACCCTGTATATTTATGATTAAAAAAATGATGAGAATTATCAATTCATGTTATAGGGCGATTTACGATGGCCACGAGCATCAGAAATTTATGGAGAAGCTTGACAACCGTATTAAGGCTCACGATAAGGACATCGAGAGGATGTGCAATCATCATTATCAGGGATTTATCGATTCTGTTCGGGAGCTCTTACAAGTTCGGTCACAGGCGCAACAATTAAATGTTAGTTTTAGGTATAAAAATAATTATAAGGCTCTGTAGTATAAAATAACATAAAAATAATAAGGGCCAAGAGCCAACTCTTGGCTCTTATTACTTTTATGTTGTTTTAAAAATAATTAGCGATAATATAAAGTTTAATTATAGCATAACAATGTTTTAGAAGAATTACCAAAAGTTTTCAGTCATTGAATAATTTTATTGTATACTCAAGCAGAAAATAATCTTTATAAATAAAGATTTAATATATAGATACTCAATATATTCTAGCATTTAAAATACCGTTTTCTTAAGTTGATTATAACAAGAATTCTATTAAACATATTCTTATATAAATTATAAAACAAAATTGACAAAAATTATTGTAAAATTATATGCTGGCTTGAAACTTTTGGCAGCCATTGTATATGTAAATTATTCTTTAATTCAATTTTGTCATATAGACAGAGATATTGGAGCTTGATAAATGTATCACTGCTACGTGTACCAAAGTGATTGAGAAAGGCGAAGAACTTGTAAAAGCTCGTAAAATTGAGAGCAACATGGCTGCTGCTGTAGACAGTCTCACTATGTGCCTTCCTGTCTTGGCTGCATATGCAAAGTTGCAAAAACAATTAAAAGATAAACGTTACTATCCAGCCTTGAAAACGCTGGAGCAATTGGAGCATCATGATCTACCGAAAGTTACGAATTATAGGTTTTCTTCTCAAATTACTCAACAAATTCCACAGTAAGTTTGATTGAAAAAATCTCTCGAGAATCTTATTGTATTATATATATATATATATAATAGTGTAAAAATATTATGGAACTATTTTTTTTGTTCTAGATTGCGTGAGAATATAAAAGATGCATCTATGTCTGATTTAACAGATTTTCTGGAAAGTGTTAGAAAGCATTCACCAATGATCGGAGAAGTTGCAATGAGACATGTTGGTATTTTCTTTTATTTTTTATTTAATATCTATAATTATCTGGTATATAATCTAAGTAAACTGTCTATGTATAATTTGTCAACCTTAGCAATTTTTGGTATCAGACAGCTCAACAGTTAGCGATTGAGGCAGAAATTATAGGAAGAAAAAAAAAGAGAACTTACGGAAATCAGTCAAATGAGACCGAGGAGGAACTGAGTGCTCAAGATTTAATGGATTTCAGTCCTGTATATCGATGTATGCATATCTATACTGTGCTCAGGGAAGGAGAAACTTTTAAACAATATTATAGGCAACAAAGAAAAGAGCAAGCTAGGCTAGTTTTGAAGCCACCTAATATGGTATTCTATACTGAATTCTATACTGAATATTTTTCGTATTTGTGTGTTCCAATAATGAAATATTTTTTAAATTTTAGCACGAGAGTATAGTCGAATATCAGACTTATTTACACGGTATCATTGGTTTCTTTGTGGTAGAGGATCATATATTGAATACAGCTAACGAATTAGCTACTCGCTCATATTTGGACAAGCTTTGGACCAAGGCTTTGTCTACCATAGTGGAAACTTTGCACACGCATTCGGTAAATTATTACATACTGTTATGTATAATATATTATAATTATATTATAATTATAATTAATATAAGAGAATTATATTTTTTAGGCATGTTGCACAGACGCGACACTTATATTAAAAATAAAAAATCTTATTATGTTATTCAATACTACTTTAAGGGTAGGTAGCAAAGTGTATTTACTTTTTATTGTTCATACATTTTTATTGTTCATATGCATGTATAATTTAAATATATTTTTTTCTATTCTTTATAAACAGGACTACGGCTATTCCGTAGAGCAATTGTGGGATTTGTTAAAAGATATTCGAGTACATTATAATGAAGTGTTGATGAAACATTGGGTTCCAGTGTTCAGGGATATTTTGGACGAAGATAGTTTCTTGCCAATTCAGGTAATTATCATACTTATAAAATATTTAACTCCTATAACTAGAGACTGCTGAATTATTTGTCATTTACTCGATCATCATATTCCAGGTTACAACGCAAGCAGAATATGACGAAGTTTTGAATCTATTTCCTTATCATGACGATGAATTGCAAAAGGCCGAGTTTCCGAAAAAATTTCCATTTTCTGATATGGTACCCAAGGTGTACCAGCAAGTGAAAGAATTCATCTATGCTTGCTTAAAGTTTTCAGAGAATTTGAACTTCACGCAAACGGAAATTGATGAAATGATATGCAAGTCAACAAATTTGTTTTTAACAACAACTTTCAGTGGATGCTTATCATCGTTGTTTCGCAAACCATCCTTAGCACTTTTACAAGTAGTACAAATTATTATAAATACGGGATATCTCGAGAAATCTACAAAGTATTTAGAAGAATTTGTAACTAATATTACTGGGTAAATATCTAATACATATATATATTTTTTTTCTTTGTAAGCCACTAAGCATATATAACTTTTTTAGCACACCGCATCAAGGTCAATTAAGTAGTATGGATGTGGAATCTGCTATGTTTCGAGTTGCGCGTGAGGATGCTGAAAAACAAATTTGCGATAAACTTAAAAATAAACTGGATGAATTTTTAGAATTAGAGAATTACGATTGGAACTTGACGGAACCTCAAGGACATGCCTCAGGATTCATTACGGATCTTATTGCGTTTTTACAGAGCACTTTCACATGTTTCACCAATTTACCAGTAAATATTGCGACATAATATACGCGGTTATGTATATATGGTTTTTGAAATATAATAAACGTTAATTAACATTTCAGGATAAAGTAGCCCAAGTAGCATGCAAATCTGCGTGTTCTCACATTGCTAAATCCATATTAGGTATATTAATTAGTGAAGATGTGAAACAGATATCTATGGGTGCATTGCAGCAAGTCAATTTGGATACAATACAGTGCGAACGTAAATTTTATATTTTTCTTTATATAATGTTTCATTGCAATATATATGTTCGAATATAAAAATTCAATAATGATACAAAAGAAAGGCTACGAGCCTAATAAATTCGTTTAATTTAACAAAAATAAATATAAATATTATATTAAATTCATTTAATTTAACAAAACATAGAACAAACGTTTCGATTCCGACCGGGTCATTTTCAATGTTTAAAGTATAACAGTTATGAGATACATAGTGTATTCGATTCGTAGTATTTTTGTGTCCTTGAAAACCGACTTTTTCCATACTCTCTTCAATAATATTCCCTACTTTAGTTGATCCTACCTACCTCTTTCCTTCACCTTACAAATTCCCTTCTCATTTTAAAAAATCTCTTGATACGAAACGCACACTAAATTTTCTCCATCGCATATTTGCTCTAATAATTATATACCAATCTGGATTTAATTAAAAATTGCTAAGGTATATATCCATTTTGTTTTACTTCAACATAAATTGATTTATAATAGAATATCTATTTATATAATATATATTCAATGTAATCTAAGTGTCACTGAATTATAATGTAATTTTTATTATTTGACGGAATTCATATCTTCAGTTTGAACATTTACCAAGATTTCAAATATTACTGCGATAACAAACAAAAATATTATATTAAATTATAATTTTTCAAGTAAGAATTTTATATTCATCATAAAGACAACAAAATCTATGTTACAACTAGTCAGTCAAAGACACAAAAATACAGAGAATCAAACACACTAATTTGTATCTCACAACCGTGACATTTTAAATATTGAAAATGACCCCATTGGAGTAAAAACGTTTGTTGTGTTTTGTTAAATTAAACGAATTTATTAGGCTCTCGTACCCCATCTTCTGTATCATTACTTATTTTTATTGAGTCTTGTTACTTATATAATATTTATAAAAATTCAAATTATTATAATTTCCAGAATTTGCTGCTTCTGAACCAGTCGTCGGTTTACCAGAAGGAACTTTGTTGCAGTACTTTTCGGAATTGCGACAGTTACTAGATTTATTTATGAGTTGGGATTGGCCTACTTATTTTCACGACTATGGTCATGATTCTAGTAAATATGATTTAGTAACTCCCAATATGGCTGTGCTTCTGCTGGAAAAGTATGTACTAAATATATATTATTTGTATCTTTGTTTTTTATGTATTAATGTGTATCATTGTATTAACATATTAATACATATGTTTCAGATTGAAAGAATCTGATAAGAAAACGGTATTCTCTGTGTTAAAAAAAAGCGAAAGAGACAAAAAGAAATTGCTTGAAACTGTATTAAAACAATTACGTCAATTAGCACAGACTACTCAGCAACAATAGAAGTTGAAATCAATCATATGTTTACAGGAATCCCAGAATATTTGATATATATTTGAATATAATGCTCGTGTGCAAATACAGCGAATTAAACTGATTGTGAGTCAAAAAGAGTCTTCTATTATCTTTCAAAATTTTTGCAGTAGTTAACGGGATATTAATTTCTAAAAATCGCCTAATGAGCGCGTATCGGTGATCGACCAAATACCAATCACGCTCATCGATCGTAGTTAGACACAGGAGTTTACTACAAGCGGCAGTAGTCTTAACATACGATAGCAAAAGAAAATAACTGTTCATGCGTTTATATCTTGCTGTGCGCTTGAATTTACTATTACAGAATGCTAAAGGATTTTTCGATTCAGTTTAGCCCAAAAGTGCTGTCTATCTATATACACGAGCATGACTCTGTCTCAGATATTTTGGAACATCTTGCGTATGTGTGTGTGTATATATATTATAATATATATGATGTGTATATATATTTTAATATATATATACACACATACATATGTACGTATATATATCGGAAATGTGTAAATATACATTAATTTTTATATATTATCGCAAAAACGTGACTCTTAACAATAATTTATTATAAAATAAATTTGCTTTTCATACGTACAAGCCGCTTAATAACACTTTATATATTTTTATAATTTTTTTATTGATTTCAAATTATTTTCAACGTGTATAATTATTTATATAAATATGCAGGGATCATGTGAGAAGAAATAATTGAAATGATATTTGTATATATTCTCATATACTTATTTTAATTTCTTTCTATATTGGCATTATTATATTACATGTAAATGGGTCACATATCGTACAATTATTGTACAGTGTGTGTGAATTAAGTATGATATATAAAGTTCCAATTGCTACACTTCATATACAGTGTAATTATTCTTGGAATTATACAAAAAGTTTAATATAATTGTTCATTCGGTAATCACGAGAAATTTGACATTGCGATTTAACAACGCCAAAATTTTTCGTACCAAAATGTAAAGTAAATATATATAGGTTGATATAGAAATATAAGAGTTATATTATTGAGAATATTAAAATAGAGATTAAATACAAATCAACAATAATTCCAGTAAAGTAATACCAATAGAGCACAACGCCTGGCTTATGACGAATCCATGCAATAGTAGAAGTAAAACAAATATTAATAATACACATAATTATGTATTGCATGTGGCACAATTTAGGTATGTGATGCAAATTATAATCATTTGAGACTATTCATCGATATTGTCAGGATCCACATCATCAGGTAGCATGGAATATTTGTTGGAAGCTACAAAATTCTTTAAAACAAAAAATTTAATATTAGTACATATATCTATTCATCAATACATTATTCAGTTTTACTCACTGGAGCTTGTTCGTCTTTAGCCTTCGGCATTCTACTGATTTCATCTTTCTCTTTGTCTTTGCGATCCCTGCAAGCAATAAGCAAAATGTAAATAAATGCAAATTTCGTGTAATATGTAAGAAAAAATATCTCTGTATTTTTTTGTAAATACCTTTCTGCACGAGTATCCTTCTCAACAGATTTCTGAGACCCTTTGGACGTCGATAGTCCAGAACGCGGTGCTGGCGATACTTTGGATCCACTTTGTTCTTCTACTTAAAAAATATACATCACATTTGTATTGTCTTTATGCCAAATAGAGAAATTTTATAAATTTGTTTAAAAACGAAACAAATTTACCAGTACGAGTGGGAGTTGGTTGAGAACGTGGCGCGGATCTTTCAACCCGAGCATCTCTGTCTTCTTCCGATCGCCAAGCTGACCGACCCCTATCTTTGTCTTTGTCGTCGCGTCCTTCCTATAAATGAATATTATTTAATCCAAAACATTTTATAGTTATAAATGCATTTCTTATATTCAATATGAATTATATAAGGTATTTACGCCATTACGTCGACCCCAAGTGCCGTCTTTACGTTCTTTAATGTCCCTGGAGAGAAAACAATAAAATTTTTAATAGAGAGAAATATTCTACATTATTTCTTGTATGTGCTTTTTGCTATTTTTTAAGCTAATTCTACAATGTGGCTTTTTTGTTTCCTGTTTCTTGCTGTTTGTCTCTTGACTTTTTGATCAAGAAGGCAAGAAACAAACAACAAGAAACAGGAAACAAAAAGCACATTGTAGAATTAGCCTTACATTTTATCTTTTTGCCTCTGATCCCGTTTTTCGTTTTCTATCGCTTAAGAGAAAAGTTATTATTGTTAATGAACTTCGGAAGAAACAAGAAATATGTGGCAAGAAATGACTGTCAATAAAACAGTTGCAAATAGGGAAGAAAGCAAGAGGTACAAAACAAGAAACAAAGAGCACATTGTAGACTTAATATGTATCATACATACGGTTCTTCTCGGGATCGTGATTCTGCGTAAGATTTAGCGAGACGTTCCTCTATTTCTCGTTCACGGGCAGTGGTATCTACAGGTTTCGCAGCACCAAAAATATTGGCCGCTGGCACGGGTGTGGCAGCTGGTGCTCGTTGAGTTGATTCTGTATTCGCCGTTGGTTTCGATTCTATCGTACTGTCTTTAGCCGCTGACTCTTCCGCGACTACGAGGGGCTCGACGGGTTTCGTGCGAGGTTGTAGATTCAGTTTCGGTCTCTGTCGCGGCTCGGCTGAATAATTAAATAAAAATATCGATAATTAGATTAAAGATATCTTTCGTATATATCTTATCGAATAATTGTACACGTACGTTTCGCGTCTCGATCTTGCCGACGATCACGATCCCAATCGGAATCGCCATAATTACGACGTGGTCCGAAACTGCTGCTTCTGTCTCCCCCATCTCTGTCTCTACTTCTCCCTCTATCGCCAAAACGATTCCAATCCCGGTCTCTGTCTCTATCCTTGCTATCATCTCTGAAGCCACCCCTGTCTTTAAACGAGGATCCTTTATCATTGTTGTCTCTCTCGCGCCATGCACCTGGCTTATTATCATAATCGTGTCCTGTTCAATACAAAAATACGTTTCTCCATTACAATATAACTCTTCGAGAATCTATATTTCTATCGAAATTTCCATTTCTCTCCAGGAAATATCAAATAGATAAAAATTTACATACTTTCTCTGTCATCTCGCCGATCTCTATTGTCAAATCGGTCTCTATCGTACCGACTACGATAGGAATCTCCATCTAGCAAATCTTCCCGCGGTCCGCTCCTCCAGTCGCCGGAAGTACGTTCCGGATCATCATAATTGTCCCTACGGTTGTCTCTACCCATTCTACCGCTTCGACGATCGTCATTACTACTATTGGAGACTTCAATTCTCACCCGTCTCGTCTTAATCGTCTACATGGAAAGATATATTTTTTTCAGCAACGTCGATAAATACTGTTAAATGCTATTCACTTACCGTATTTGTCATAGATAGAGCATCAATTAGACTCTGACGATCCTCGAATTCGACGTAACCGTAGCCTTTAATTTTATTTGCATCTTTTGGCAAACGCATATTTGAAATCTGCATACAGAAGAAAACACGTAATTTACAAATTATTACTAATTTGCGAAAAATTAAAGAAAATTAATTTTTATGTTTGGTTATCAAAATTGTGTATAATTAGTATATATAGCATTTTATACTAATAAACGTACTTGAGGAGCGTTGGACAGCTCAATCATAGAACAGTCAAACAGTAGACTCAAGGACGTATTCTTAAAAATATCGTATACGAAAATATTATAGTATATATTATGTATATTTAAGTTTTCTCTCTATTTTCGTATATGATATTTTCTCGAGAATAAGGCCTGAGACTCAATTCTCAGTCCTGCTATTCTACTTATTTAAAATACAAACATATGTTCCACATTATTTCTTCATTAAAAAAAATAAGCCAATCAACAAGCCAAAAAGTTATACAACATAAAAAATATTTATTGAGACTTCATAATATAAATAAAGATTTGTTTGGGATATTTGACTGTGGAAATCTCCATTTATACTAAAGTGATAAAAAAATGTAATTATCACAAGATAAACATATATATAGGATGTCCAGTAAAGATCGCAATAATCTTTAAAGATAATCTCCTGAGATGATTTTGAGACAAAAATTCTAATATCAAAATGTTAAAGCTGAAATAATTTTTTAATTATAAGCATTCAAAGTTAAAGAATTATATCGCCTAAAGTTAACGCGTTTAAGTATGATTGACATTTATCTATTATGTCTGAATGTGCGAAGGAGATATAATTTGCTGACTTTAAATGCTTATAATTCAAAACTATTAAAGTGTCAACATTTTAATATTAGGATTTTTGTTCAAAAATGATGTTAGAAATCCATTCCTTAAATGCTGTTACAGTCCTTACAGAACTATACGCATCTATAGAGTATCCTGTAACTCTTAATTAATATTTCTGGGAGTCACAAAGAGGATGTAACATATATATGTACGTGCGCGTGCATGCCTGTGTGTGTGCATGTGTAAATAGAATAAAATTAAGATAGTATTACTGTAATACATATTAAATTCTTTAAAATTTGATATTTATGACTATGAAAATGCATTAAATATAGATAGATAAAAAAGGTACTTGTAAAAGTAACAAACCTTCATATCTGCGAAAAAATCTGCCAGATCAGCTTCATCTACATCATATGGCAGATTGCTTATGTAAGCTACATAAGGAGGATTTGTAGGGATATTCTCCTCATCAATCCCTGGTCCTCGTGCAGCCCTTGGAGCAGTCGGCAATATAACCGGATCTTTGCTGCTCCTTGATGAAAATCCTTCTACAAAATAATTGATATCATAAAAAATTGATATCTTAAAAAAACAAAGATAAAGTTTTTATATCGTGTATATTAAAATAATTGTTTTATCACAGTTATAGCATAAATTATAGCATCATTAAGTTCTACTCTTATTACAACACACACACACACACACCCACACCCACACACACACAAACACACACACACACACACACACAATAAAATAATTATTTATATATTCTGGATGCATACAAAAATAACAATCACATAAATACCAATGTATAAACATAGATACACTTAATAATCAGCACAAAAATCTAATATTTCTTTCTAAGGATAACAATTGTTTATCAATTTGGAATTGGGACAAAAGCAATTCCGACGACTTACCATGATCGTCCTCCACATCATCAGCCCAATTAGACGATTTCAGCGGTATATTAGGAGTCGGCCCATTTCCGTCGGCCAGGAACGACCACAAATCTACTGTTACCCCCTTCTTCTTCTTGTTCTTTTTGCCTGGAAAACGTATTCGGACATTTATCATTAGAGGAACATATCGTATCGTCGCAGCCCGTGTCGAAATGCGCGTAGCAGCTCGTGGAGCTCATGCAATATCGAAAGCATGGTGACCACGTCGCGTGGAGTTTGGTTAGGTGCAAACGTGTGGGGCGTGATGACGGCGCGGACATTATTCAAGGATTATATTAGCGTCAACAAAAATAATTCTCCATCGATACTCAACGTTATGACGATCAAAAACGTACCTGAGGACATAATAACAGTTCAGAAATCCACGGGATTACGTGCCAGGCCGTATCTACGTGCACAGCACAACCACCCTCGCACTTACACGTACTCACAGAAAATGCAGAATCCGTGAATGTTCAATGTGGTGAATTGTGAAACTTGATGCATGAGCTAGACTGCTAGAGTCCCTAGAAGAGAGTTTTTGGACAATGATGAATCCTAGTTTTTATTGGCCAGAAAAGAATATGACGCGACCAATCATTGCAGTCAAAATCTCATGCAAGCGCAGCATAATTTAAATGTAAGGGCGGGTTCACACCTTGACCGAAAAGCGGAAGAGCAGTAGCTAATCAGTTATCAGTTCATTTCAATGGTTGCGTTCAACAGAAAAAGTAGCTTTGCAACTGTTGTAAAATTCTTCAATATGATTGGTCTTGCCCCTATTTCCTCATTTGATCTAAATGTATAAGCCAATCATATTCAAGAATTTTACAACAATTGCAAAACTGCTCTTGAATATTGTGCTGCATGGGAATATTCGAACTAAACGTTTGTCAGCACTGCTAGTCTAGTAGTTGAGAGTCGAGTTACAATGCGTTTCGGAAAACCATTAAGGCGAGACTCTGATTTTGCCGGGTTTTTGATACAATACGTTTTCTGCATCACGTTGCATCGTTTCATGGATTTATTAGGATGTACTAATTTTTTTCAATTCTTTTTTCATAATTGTTATTAATATTTCCTAATATTGGTTTTATTTGATTGTATCAAAACTAATCATGCCGAAAGTAAATACTATACTTAATTATTTCACATCTCCGAAAACTGTTAAGAAGTCGGAAACGATTAAAGAAGAAAAAGAGAAATCTCAGACTCCTAAGAGGGGCCAAAAGAACAAAGGTTTGTAAAAATCGTTTTTGAAGTATGTTGTTAGTTGTTGCTTTAAGCAACATTTATGAAGATAAAATCGATTGTGTGGTATATATATATAATGTTGCTTTTTATTACTGTGATATATACATATAAAATGGTAATTTACGTAATTCACATCCACTTGCAATTTAATCGTAGTTCTCTACTTGCCATAAAGATTTATGTATATTATAATTAGAACTAGCAAACCGTTCACAATATATTTAATTAATTATTTGAATTATTTTGTTTTAACTTTGCTTTATTTTATATCATTTTACTCTTATATAATTTAAATTAAGTAATAATTAAGTAATAATTTAAATTATTGATATTATTAGGAATGTGTTCTAGTTTTGAGAGTTTTTTTTTCTCAAAAACAGATTTATTTAAACAAGATAATAAACGAATATCTTAATCAAAATATTTTTCTTTGTTTTGTATAACTTTTTCCTATCTTTCTGGCAAGAAATGGATTCCATGATAATAAAAAGATTCTTCTTTGGAGTTGATCCAATTTTCAATAAATTTTCTCACATTTTCGAAATTATGAAAGTGTGTATCCTCTAAAATATGTTGCATCAAGCAGAACAAGTAAAATTTAATTAAAAAACAAAAGCAACGCATGTTGAAAATGCTCTTTAGGAAGCTCCATTTTTAAGATAGTATAAACACAATGTTTACTGCGTCTATTATTAGTAAATGACTAAATATTTTAGAGTAATATTAAAGCATTAAGAAACAATAACTGTGATTGGAATGTCTTTGATAACAGGGCATTAGTGCCATATCTTGCAAAACCCTCAAAACTAAATCATACTCTTAATATATTCTTATAGTAATTTTATACACAGAATGTCCTGAATTTAAAGTGTGAATAAATAAGTAATAAATTTGTACAAAAACCACATTTTGTCTTTTTGCAATTTTCTTCAAACAAAGCAAAAATGAATATATTTTTAAAGGACCTTTTTTTATTAGTTTTTTTTATTAGATGTTTATCAATCTTCTTTATATTCTCAAAGTTTAGGAGGGGGATTATATATATTTACAAGGGAGATTATATATATATATATATTGTGTTATATTTGTATACAGGATTTGTTAGGAATGGAAAAGAAAATCAGAATACTGATGACAAGAAAAGATCATATACAAAGGATAAAGATGATGATAAAGAAGATGATCCTGTAAAACCTAAAAGACGGCGTCTTATTATTCCTGATGATAACTCTGAAGATTCTGGAGATGAATTCAAACCAGGTTAGTTGATTGCTTAAGCAATATTTTGTATCATAATTTTAAGCTAAGAAGATAGAAGGAAGAACAATATTATATATTCATTATTCTGTATATTTTATAGAAGATCTTTCTGAAGAATCTGAATCAGTTTCTGAAGGAGATACAGAACAAGATTCTTTAACAGAAACGGAAGAGGAAACACCAGAGGTAGAAACAATATATTTTAAACTATTGTTATTACTGCCACACAATGAAAATTATGTTTGATATGAATATTGTGTTTTTAGAAAAAAAGGAAGATATCCAATGTTAAATTGAAGTCAAAGCAAATAAGTTCTAATAATACAAAGGTAGTAATAATTACAATTATTATACATAATTTCTTTATACTTATTTTTATATAATTCTTTAGCTATTCAAAATAATTGTTAATTATATATTGCTATTAGCATTCTTTCAACTTTCCTACTACTTGTCTGCCATGTAGAAAAATTACTCAACTTTACAATTTTTTCTAGAACAAAAAAGATTCGAAACACCAGTCTTCGCAACCAGTTCAAAGTCAAAGTGTAAGCAATAGAGTTACTGCGCACACTTGGCCTCACTTGAAATTAGATTTCTTGCAACCAGAGAAAATAAGGGATATACATAAAAGAACGCTGAAGGATCCAGATTATGATTCTAAGACGCTCTACGTACCTAATGATTTTTTAATAAATCAAACTCCTGTAAGAGAAACTCTCACCGTTAAATACTTTGCTATCTATTAGTTATTAATTACGAAATGTCTACATGTTTAAAAAAAATATTTTAATTATATCATTCGATAGAGTAAAATTTCAGTATTGAAAATCTGTTTATTTAATGATTATTATTACGACGATTTTTAACGGAGTTATGAGTAATTAAAGTCAAAATGCTTCTTTTATTTAATCCGCAATAAGTAACAAAAAATCTTGGAAACAATTTAAAAAAATTTTGTAGGGAAAATTTAATGATTTTATGGTAGACAGTCGAAGATTTTTACAAATTTTTTTAAACATGTGACAAGCACAAAGTAAAAAATTTAATTTTATTCTGCCCTCATAGTTTTTTACTTATAAAAATTACTAAACTCACAGAAATTCAAAAAAACAGCGCTCTTTTGAAAATAGAGATTTTAAGCTTTAAAACTATTTTTCTCAAAATTTAAATTTTTTTCATTTTTAATGAAGTTACGATTGCTATTAATAGTAATAGGAAAACCGAACATTTCATAGTTACTGACCTAATATTAACATTAAAATAATAACTCATTTAAAAATCTGTTTAGGCAATGAGACAGTGGTGGGAATTAAAGAGTAAGCACTTCGACTGTGTATTTTTCTTTAAAATCGGTAAATTCTATGAGTTGTATCATATGGATGCAGTTATTGGTGTCAATGAGCTCAGTCTCACATATATGCGAGTAAGTCTATATGTGTACTTACGAAAAATGCGAGAAACTGCTCTTGAATTTATTGTGCAACATTAAGTTACAATATGTATTATTGTAGGGTGAATTCGCGCATTCTGGATTTCCCGAAATTGGATACGGTCGTTATTCAGCGAGTTTAATAGAGAGAGGATACAAAATCGCACGAATTGAGCAAACGGAGAATCCGGAAATGATGGCAGTGCGTTGCAGCAAAAGTATGAAATTACACAGAAATATACACTTTGTTTCATGTGAAAGAACACATCCGAATTGTACAAGTATTGGACATTTTTTTATTTACAGTGACTAAACCGACAAAGTTTGACAAAGTGGTGAAACGCGAAATTTGTCAAGTCAGTACCAGAGGCACAAGAGTATATACACCACTAGACGTGGAAGCATCTACACCAAACTCCAATTATCTATTATCCCTAGTCGAAAAGTGCGATCTCAGTTCGATGATCAGCTCCTTTGGAGTATGCTTTATAGATACAACAATAGGTGAATTTTATCTTGGCCAATTCGTCGATGACCGCTGCAACTCGAGGCTATTGACTCTATTGGCTCACCATCCACCAGTTCATGTATGAGATCATCATGATCTAAATATTGCATATATTTACTGATAAACAAATATTTCGCTTTATCTTTCAGGTGTTATATGAACGCGGTAATTTATCGCAAAAGACTCTGCAGCTTATAAATAACACTCTACCGGCTGCGCTAAAAGAGCCGCTACAGCGCGAAGCACAATTCTGGTCTGCTACCACTGTGCTGAAAGTTAGTAACAGATAATGCTTTGTATTTGTATTACATTTATATAGATAAGAAATTAGTATATAAAAAAAATATATATCCCACTTTTGTATTTTTAAAGAAACTTCACGAAGAAAATTATTTCAAAAAAGAGAGCGACTCGAGCTTTGCATGGCCTGAAGGTCTGAAACCATATTTAAACGAAGGTAATTAATCAATTAATACATTTTTTCTTTATTTTTCTTTTTTACATATTTACGATAATAATTCGTGTGTTATATAAATCTTTTATTATTATGCATTATAGGAGACAGCTTGGGTTTAACGCCGGCAGATAACAAAGAATTAGCGCTGCACGCACTTGGAGGATGCGTGTCTTTGTTAAAAGAGTTCCTACTCGAACAGCAATTATTAGCGCAAGGCTACTTCAATACGTACATTCCGCCGGATTTTTCAACTGCAAATAGTCGTACAGGTCTTAATAATGCTAACACTATGGTAATAGATGCTGTTACGATAAAAAATCTAAGGCTCTTCGGAGAAGGCTCACTCATTAATGTATTAGATCGTTGCTGTACTGCATTCGGCAAAAGGTGAATTTTTAATTTTGAATAATTTAATAATTAAAAAAAATTTTATGGTTATATAAAATACATAATATATAAAATATATAATAAATATATAGTTATATATATATTTTTTTAATACAATATATAACTATATATATTTTAATATATATTTTTAATTTTGTGAGTTAATTTTTCTGTGAATTTTAAAGTTAAAAATATATACTTTTAGATTGCTGCGTGAATGGGTTTGTAGACCATCTTGCCGCAAAACCGTTATTATGGAGCGCCAGGAAGCTGTGAAAGAGTTGATGGATCGAATGGACGTAATGCAGTCAGCTCGCGCAATTTTATCAACTCTGCCGGATCTCGAAAGACTTTTGAGCAAGTAAGTTGAAAGTTTACTAGAAATTCACAAATTCCACTTCTAGAATTTGAAATATTAATGTTTAACACGCATTTCTTTTGTTACAACAGGATACACGCTCAGGGAAATGTTGCTAGAATAAAAAATCATCCAGATGGTAGAGCCATAATGTTTGAAGGCCCAACATATTCGAAGAGGGTGATTGTAGATTTCACTATGACACTCGCCAAATTTGAAGAAGTGCTAAAATTTATCGAACTGTTTGATGGTATGCATATTTTGCTTTTTCATAAGTAATGCATTTTTATGTCTAATGTAATTTTGTTTTACGATAGATTTCAAAAGTAGGTTGATAACTCGCCACACTCAGTATGAACCGAACGGTGAATTCCCTCATTTGAGGGAGACATTGGACTACTTTAAGGTAAGCTTTTACTTTCTGTTTTGCTATTTTTTTATTTTTATTTTTACTTTGCAAATTGTATTGTACAATGTATTTGTAATTTTATAATATTTCTAACATCGATATAAGATGCCAAAAGAGCATCAATTAATTATAAAATTGTTAATCAATTTAATTCGTGATAGTACTGCAATAGTTTAATTTGCGTTTCAAGACCGACAATTGTTCGGCGCGCAGTTGAGAAAGACTACATATATCGGTATATAAATTCACGCGAAATTATATATAAGCAACTAAGATTTAGCTAGACTGTTATAGGCTTCGTATTTGTATTAGTTATGTTGTTACATTGACGGTCTTCAGAATTTAATATTGTTTATAATATTTCAGACTGCATTCGATCATGAAGGAGCTAAGAAGCAAGGCTACATCGTTCCAAAGAAAGGAGTTGACGCTGAATACGATTCAGTTTTGACCGAGCTCGCAGACATCAAAGAAGATCTAGACAAATACTTGGAAAAACAAAAGCAGCATTTCGGCGTAAAAGTAACATTCCATGGAACAGATAGGAAACGTTATCAAATCGAGATTCCTGAGTCGCAGGTTAAGAAAGTCGGTTCTGGATACGAATTACAGTCACAAAGGAAAGGCTTCAAACGTTATTATACTGCCGAGGCAAAGGCAAGGATTACAATTCACGTTTTTAATTGCAGAAAAACTTGCCAGCATATAAAAATATCAGAATGAAAAAAATTAAAACAAATAGGAAGTAGGAAATTCTGGCTACAAAATGGTTGAAGTTGCATCTTTTAATGCTTAACTAATTCAATATGAATTAGTATATACTATATGTGTACATGCATATATACCATTTTTATAGTCATATTCACTGCGCACCGAAGTTTTTCCAGACTAAAAAACGCAGCTGAACTACTGAAATAATATCACAATTAAATTTTTGATACTTATGAATAGGCATTTATTAAAAAGATCTTAATAGAAATATATAAATTAATTTATTGTGAAAAAAGTTATATGAATTATCTTGATCATTGCAGGAACTTTTGACAAGACAAATGTCTGCCGAAGAGCATAAGGACAAGGTGCTGAAAGATCTCAACAGGCGAATATTCGCGCAGTTTAGTGAGAAATATGATATGTGGCATACAGCTGTTTACAAATTGGCCACCATGGATGTGCTCATCTCCCTTGCGGATTATGCATGGAACGGTGATATGTGTGTCCCGGAAATCCACGATGGAATCGATAGCGAGGTAACAATATCGTATCGTAACAAATATAATTTAGATGCGTTCGCTTTACACACTCACACGTAAGCATCTCGTCCCTGTTGCCTATCAAATAAATAAGGGCCAATGATGCTTAGAAACGCTGTGAGTGTGAAAGCCACCTTTAATGATCACTTATTTATTGAAACACCTGTAGTGAACGTCATTGTTTTTTTAGATATTCATCAAGATAAAAGATGGACAACATCCCTGCATCATGTCTGACAATTTTATACCGAATGACACTTTATTGGCAACCGACGGCGCCGCTTCTTTCATGATTTTGACGGGACCGAACATGGGAGGCAAATCGACCCTCATGCGCCAAGTCGGCCTGATCACGATCATGGCGCAGATAGTAAGTCTCAAACCTGTTCTGCAATGTGCATTTTGTTTCTTGTTTTTTTTTACATCTTATTTTTTTGCTTCTTATCCCGTTTTTCGTTTTCTATCGCCCGAGATAAAAGTTAACTTAGCAAGAAATGTAATTGTCAATAAAACATACTGGTTGCAAAGAAGGAAGAAAGCAAAAGGTAAAAAGCAAGAAACAGGAAACAAAGAGTACATATTCTTTGTAGAATAAGCTTTACAAGGAAAATGCATGTGACAAACTAATAGCGTTTTTCATTGGCAGAACTAGTGCGCACTAAGTGCATTTCAAATTGTACACAAATCGACGTAAAGATATTTATTAAATAAAAATAGAAACAAGTTAAACCGCGAAGATCTTAATATATTTTATTGTGATGTTTGATAAAATACACATATATGTATATTAGGCATTTTATCAGTTGAGATATCTCGTTTTTTTTTGTTCAGATCAGATTAGTGTACAACGATTTTAATGTGCACCAGTTCTGCAAATGAAAAATGCTATAATAATCGAGTATTATATACATCAATGAAACATGAATTTAATTTTTTTGCATAACTAGGGCAGCTACGTTCCAGCCAGCTCGTGCTGCATAACACTGGTGGACCGTATTTTCACGCGGCTGGGAGCAAACGACGATATTTTGGCTGGCCAGAGTACGTTTTTGGTCGAGCTAAGTGAAACCGCTGCAATACTGCAACATGCTACGCCCTATTCGCTGATACTTCTTGATGAGCTGGGTAAGAAAAAAAGCAGAAAACTGCACGCGCATATTAATACGTTCAAAACAAGTGTATCTGTTACTGTTTCCATAACTTTTTTTGAAGATTTTGTTACTATATTTGTTAACGCGCCTTTCAATCAAATCAAATTATTCTTCTGGTTGTCGTTTCTTCATTCGATCAGAATTCGGATTTGATAGAAAATATTTCCTCATCACAGGACGTGGTACATCAACCTATGACGGTACAGCAATAGCGGCTGCAGTCGTTGATGCGTTGACCAAACTCAAATGTCGCACGTTATTCTCGACGCATTACCATTCTCTGGTTGAAGATTATAAAACTAATGAAGAAGTCACGTTAGCCCACATGGTGAGGAGAAGCTTTGACGTATGAGAGCGAACTTTCAAAATGCATTTTGTCCAAAATTTTATTTTTTGAGTTAGAAATTGCATTATTCAGTATTGTGAAAGAATCGTGTTCGAAGTTACTCTGAGATGTTTAGAAAATATTTTTTCACTTTTAATTTCTATGCTAAAAATGCATTATGTTTTTAACTAAAAACAAACAACGTATTTGTTAAACATTTTTAGCAATTTTATTTGACATTTTACATCCTACTGATTGCCATATTGTTATTTTCTGTAAAGTGAATACTTTTTCGTAGCTTTCTCGTTTTTTGAAAATTATAAATTTTGGACAAAACGCATTTTGAGTCTGTTCTTCATGTTTCAAATAGATCTTTTCCATTCAAAAGATATATATATATATTATATATATACACACACAATATAGTATGGAAAATAATTTTATTACTGTTACAATTCGCGCGTTACACATATTTATTAATCTTAATATGACGTATTTTAAATTTTTTCAGGCATGTATGGTGGAAACCGAAGAGGAAGAGGAAGTATCGCAAGAGACCGTGACGTTCTTGTACAAGCTCAGCGAAGGGGCATGTCCAAAGTCCTACGGATTCAATGCCGCTCGACTGGCAGGCGTACCGTCTATAATCACAAAGAGAGCGCACGAGATAGCTAGCCAGATGGAGCAGGAAACTAATCACAAGCACATTTTCAACGCTCTTTGCAAAGCCAATGGTGCTGGAATGAGAAGTCTCATTGCTGCCATTTAATGTATCGAATGTAATTGTATTACGTTGAAAATACTCAGTAGAATTACCTTTTAAGAAATTGTTTTGAAAAAAGAATCATTACTTTGCAGGGATTTGTAACTTGTACAGAATATTCTTAAGCAATTATCGACTTGGGAATAGCGTGTAAAAAACGGGCATTATATATACTTACCTTTTTATTATACATTTTCATACAGATATCAAGCTGCGCTCCAAATAACTTATTACATTTTTAATCTATATAACAACAGTATTTCTTCCACACAAGAATAATATATATTGTAGTGTTTTATCCATCGTCACATACATAAAAACAAAGTAATTATTTCTGTTTCTACTTAATTCTGTTTGATTGTTTAATTAACATTCGCTTAATATACTATATAATGATAATTCTTGTTTAGTACGTACCTAATTTTGTAATTGCGTTACGTTTACATTAATCTATTTTCATAATAAAAACTATTGCAAATGTATATTGCAAACGATTTCGCTTCAATTCTTTACGGCTATACTTTGGGGAAGAATAAGGTGGCAGCGGTATCTTGCTTACAAAATTTTATTAATCATTGTCAGAGTATAAAAAAAACTACTTATGACGAATACGAAAATGCATTGTGTTACAATGTTTATTCACACCAAACAACCGCGTAAGAATCTGTGTGGAGAAAAGAGAAACGCTAATACATGTGCACGGGCTCTTTACTACGAAATAAATACATTAGATTACGCGTAGCTATCGTAAGTAAGAAGAGAAGCGGGGCAACAGGCAGACTGACGCACGATGAGCTAGAAGCTGAGTCGTCGTACTCGTCGTCTTCTCGAGCGCGAGCCCGATTTAGAGCTTGCTATTATACGTTTAAACGAAAACACATTTATACATATATTTAGCACATCCATTTATGGAAAACATTTTTCTGAATATTTTCACGGTTTTTCTTTTTACAAACCCCTTATAGAAATTTAATACTAGTATTGGCCAATTAATTACTTATTTTAAGATTTATTAAAAATATTATCAACATAGTATTCTCTCTCTCTCTCTCTCTTTTAAACCTCAGTTACCACACTTTAGTCATGGTCGCATAACTATAATATAATGCACTAGTACGAATTGGGATTTTCGATTTTTTGTCACATATAATTTTGAAATAAAAAAGGCGCGCGCAAAAGTAGTTCAATTATACGATTTTCCAGGATAAAATTTTCCTGGAAACACTCATTAGTAATAATAAAACTAAACAAAAACAATATTTTATTACAAAAAATTGTAAATTAAGAAAGTAACAAATTAAAGAGTTACAGCGAAGTAAAAATTTTGCTGGTGCGAATTCGCACCAGTGTGATAATTGAAGATTAATAATGAAAATAAGTTATTAAGGCCAGTATTAGTATTAAATTTCTATAAGGGACGTTTATCCCTTTATTTAAGGGAATCTTCCTAGTGCGACGGGTTGAAAGAATCGAAAATTTTTTTAAGTTAGTAAAAAACGGGGAAATATGTATATAAAATAACAGTAAAACAGTGTATTCGGAAAAACGTTTCCAATAAACAGATATATGCTAGTTATACATGTAAACGTTTAACTACAAGTTTTTTCTGAAAGTGAATACAAACAGATGAACGTTTACACGTATCTTCGAAAAACGGAATAAAATCAGAGCCCTATATTTTCGTCGCCCGATTGAGAGAAAAGAAGATAAGTATACAATACCGATAAATAGATAAATAATAGTTTCGTGGACAAATCTGAGAGCGATAAACCCCTGCGTTATCGTCACATTCTTTTCATTCGTTCCATTCAAAACCGAAACCAATCTCTCGCGAGTAAAAACGGAGCTCCGGTCTTTCTTTGATCGTTCGCGCGAACGATAAATCAATGTGATCGAGAAGGCACGGAGAGATTAAGAAAGCACTTGAAACTTGGTTTTAATGAGTTATACATAGTACACTTTTATTTCTCGAAATAACATATTCCTACTTCTAATGTACAATTCCGAGGTCTCCACATCTCGCAATTTCATCTGTCAAATGTACTGCTATTTTTCAGTCCATTCCTCTCGTGTTCTAGTCGTTCGCGACTCGAATTCTTCACCTTCCTCCTTTTTTTTTTTAAAATATCACGGTTACTCCACTCGAAGTGTTTAATTATCTCAAATAATTGTGTGTTGTTCTCTGACAGTTTTTTTCCAATCTATCTCTTTGTCGCTTAGCAGGATTGATTGGAGCAACAATTTTTTCCCTCTGTTCTCGCATCTAATCAACGTCGCGTTTTAACAATCGCAGATCCTATCTAGCAAACAGAATATAATTGCAATATTGCAGTTATATTCTGTTTGCTAGCAATGTTGCAGCAATATTGCAGTTATATTCTGTATTTGCTGAATACGATGTCCATCATTTTTTGTATACGTGTACGTGAACATATTATTGCCCTTCATCCCGAGATGGGATTAATGAATTGACGTGCAACACTGGAAACGAGCAAAACACCGCGGTAATGAAACAAATCGCGAATAAAACAAGTAACGCTCTTACTTATTAAGCCAACGCTTTGGAAAACGACGAAACTATTGAAACATTTGAATTGAGTACTGATAAATCGCATATAACGTCGTAAAACGTTGCACATAATATTCGAGTCATAATTCTATAATTATTATTATATGATCGATTACGGGGTTATGATCGATGCAGCAAAAGCGTTTGCCAGCATGTATATTTTAAGAAAAACTAAATGCTAATTTTTTTCTTTTTTAGACTCGTCGTAAAGCGCTAAATCGCAAGTCCCAATTAAATGCAAACTTGTCTTCTTTTTAGGTTCATCTAGGATTGTAAATCTGTGGCTATCCACTGACAAGATATTATTGAAGATCGATAATCTTGTGGAGGAGTATAGTATGACTTTAAAATTTAAACAGTTTGTTAGTTCATAAATATAATATGAATTTTATTATTATATTTATTTAAGTTATTATTATCCCAATGTTCTTTAGATATGTATTATTTACAACTTGTTAACATTATGATTATTTCGTGTATTATTCTATATATGATATAGTATTACATGTATGCATACTTATTATGCAAGATTTGTATAATAAAAAAGTCATGGATTTAATAATAGATACGTTATTTAAATATTTATATCAACGATCATAAATTTATATCAATAACATCGATATTATCGATACTCTCTCCAATTACTTCCGGGCCTCTTTGATGGCTACGAAAATTTACTCAGAGTTGACTGGCTCTATCATCTTGTCAGTGATATATACACTTTATACACGAAAAAGTATTCGAACGCTTACAATTTTAATATTTAACAACTAAAATATATATATTATTAAATTGAAGCGTTTAAAACAATATGATATGTGTAACAAGGAATAGGTCTTAAGATTGATAAGTGGAACTAAAAAGTAATTTAACGATACATACAGTTCTTGTAATACATTTATTGTAAACACGCACCATAAGTGGCTTACAAAAGTATTAAAACGGTAAAAATTTAATAATTATTTAAATTGAATAATCTACAATTTTAATAAGAAGTTGATTTGCTTTTTGCTTTTATTACAGCCCTAAGATGATTTTCCATTGAGTGGACTAACTTCGAAGTAACATTTGTATATATTGATTGCTATATTTCAATAATGTTTTATTTCAACGTTTCTTTCGAAGTAACAGATGTATTTAAAGAAACGTATTGTAAAAACTGTATATATTGTTAAATTATTTTGTAATAAATTGTTATGTAATCTTAAGATCTATTCTGTGTTATATGTATATATCATATCGTTTTAAATGCTTCAATTATAATAAACGCGTATTTCATTTCGTTGAATATTAACAATGTAAACGTTCAAATACTTCGTGTATGAGTGTATGTTAGATATAATATTTTCCTTCGGTACGTTTTTCTTTCAAGTTCTTGATAAAGCTAAGCGTCTTTTTGATTTTACTTGTGATAAATATTTGTATTGACTTAAAATGTTTATTCGACTTGTGTGTTTTTTTCGTCGATTTCACTGGCCGTATTGAACCCGTATTGGAAATCGGGAATACATGTCAATGAACAGGAGCCATAATAAGAGAAGAAGAAAAGTATACTTTAATTTTAAAATAGATGTTTTCGCTTGCACCGAGAGCTATTTTTGTGCGTGCGCGCACGCTATTTGGCTCTTAAGGGATGCTGGAGTGACGGTCGAACTTGATTGAGGTCGATAGTACAGACTTTTTTGGTTCCAAATTCAATAATAGTGACTTTCATTAATTTCTAATATTCATTCTAATATTATATTATATATCGTTATGTCTCACTCAAACGCATTCATCTTTCCTTATTTAACATATTGCAATGTCATCTCGGATAAAATCGAGCAACTACTGTTAGATGTAATTTTTAGTTTGTTATCATGTTGAGTAAACAAATATACGTAATTTGCAGTTCAATAAAAATCTATTTTTTGGAGTTTTCAATCTTAGAGTTTTGTGAATTCAGTATTGTTTGTTTACGTAATACGCTTGGTTGAACTGTCGTTTGGTTTATACAAGCTGTAAAATCTTTGTATTAAGGAAAAATTTACGTGTCAGCTAACAACTCTTCGAGTTAAAAAAAGACTTATATCAATCTGCAAATTACGTGTATACGAATGCTGAACAAAGATTCGAAATGATAAACAAAAGCAGTAATTGTGTCTAGCAGGTGTTCGATCTTGTAAGAGACGGCGTTGCAATATGTTAGATAAGGACAGATATATGTATGCTTGAGATATGTTTGAGTGAGACAAAAGATAATGTAAGAAATAAATTAAAGACGTCATTATTATTACTTTTTTACTTAAAATTAAAAAAATCTGTACTATCGATGTCACGTTTACTGCACTTCCAGTAAAAACGAAACACACCCTATATGTAAATTATTCGCCGAGGGAATCGCGAGGGAATTCTTAACGAAGTGATTTATTACTCGCAAATCGTACGGTGTTTTAGTCGAAGGTGTACACTTTACGCGCGATGATCGCTTTAACTACCTTTATACAGTTACGCAATAAAGCCCGTGCCGTATAGTTCTTGACTGAAGGACCGTAATTTACAAGGAATTTCAAAGAATCCAGGATTTATTAATTCTCGTACTTACGCATCTTTACGCGTCGTTCACGCTGAAGAAATGCTGCGGAAGCTTAAATATCTGGAAACATTTTTCTCAGCAAACTGTGAATATAATGTTACATAACATATATGTAAATATGTATCTTTTACATCTGTTATGTAACAGTTATACTCATAATTTGTTAGACTGCTTTTATCCTCTCATTCTCTATTTTCTATTCGATGCAATCGATCTCATGCAGTAATTAATATTTCGCGAAATAGAATTGGTATGTTACAAGACTGAAGTTCAAAAAATTCAGGAATGTATTTAATCTCGATAAATTTAAATATACAATTCCTACCGTTTGGTAGGGATTAAATTTATCGATTGTATATTTGGTCAAACGCGACCAACTGCTCGTTTCTGTGTTGCGAATTATTGAGGAATTAACACATCCACGATTTTTCAATATTTTTATCCGCCCTTTCATTGAACTCTCTTGGCCCCGACAATAATAATTGAACATCGCTGAATGTCTTCGTTTGAAAGAAGCGATTCCTCATCAGCACGTGTTACGTGCGAAATTAATTTTATTGTTCTCTCCGAAGGCCGAAAGAGTTACTTCGAGAATCAAGAAGCCTAAAAAAAGTTCGTTCTTACTTTTCTCTGTATATTTCCTTGAATTAGTACAAAGCAAGAGTGATGTGTAGCATTAATCCACTAAAGCCCATGATTTATTAGATACCTTGCCTCTCTTTCTATTATCTCGTATCTCTAGAAAAACGATAGAAAAGATATTACCCTGCTGCAGGTAGACGGTGGTAAAATAGACTTTCGTTTAGAATACTGTATGGACGACGATTAGAAGGCTCTATAGATGGATTTGCGGGCTTTAATGGGTTAAGAGTACAGGGCCGAAAGAATTAATCGAGATATTCCCCTTCGAAAAAGGGGGGAAGGGGAACAGGTCACAACCCCCCGTCGGCGACGTCACTCTTTACCAGAGTCCGGATGAATAGCCACCGGGTGGGACGCGAGTGCGCGTCGGCGGCTTCGCCGTCGCCGGCGACGTGTCGTTCGACTTCTCGCCGCTGCTGCTGGAATTCGAGCTGGCGGTTCCGTTCAGCATGGCTGGTCCGTTCTTCTGCGATTCGGACGCGTAGCCGATTCCGGTTACGGGGTTGCCATCTGTGAAAATGATTTTTTTTCAAATATTAGTGGAATATTGTGTCGCGAAAGAAGCTCGATTAATTCTAATATTTCTGAAATTTAACCAACTATTTAATCGTTTGATGTTTTCTTCTACAAATGTCGAGCTTTTTGCTCTCAATGACGGAGTAATTAAGAATTAATTACTGAAAGATAAATCGCTGTACGGTTTAATTAATTGGTCAGTTTTTTTTTACAAAGTCCGTTCTTTTTATTTCAAGATTATCTTGAATAATATTTTAAGATGCTAATACGACTCCGTAATTGATTTGTGATATTTTAAAATTGATATTTAAGATTGTCTTAAATATAATGGACAATATATTTCTCTGTCTCTCTAAAACTTAATCATTGATATTTAAAGTTAATCGACATTTAAATTCTAATAATTGTGCAATCAAAAGAAGTATATCAAAATATTAAATGAAATAAATTTTCATTAACGTTCTACTTGGTCATAAAAATCTGATAAAAGACTTAATAATTATGCAGTAATAGTATATAAGCGCTTAAAGCGTTCAAACTGAATGCAGTTCTAGTACCTTCTACGCAATTTTCAAATAGAAGTTACGCGTTTTTGCTTATATTATGCAATTATACATCAAGTATTAAAAGAAATTTTTTTTTAATAAATTGCGCCGCATTATTTAGAGAAAACAGAAGTTATTACATGATCGGGTTTTAATAACACATCAATAATCGTACTATCTCGAGTACAATGAACGTTATGTAAAATATATTTCTATCGGAAAAGACAGATATCTACATATGAGATATGAAAAATTGAAGAGAGCACGCTATGTGCTTATTTCTACATACATTAACGGACACGTGAATTTCTGGCATGCAAATGATTCAGAGCGTAGGAACTCTCGATGTATTCACAATTAATTCAGTCGATTTCCCTCTCAAAGCAACTATTGCACACAAAAAACAGCAAATGAAAGATCATACAACTTTGAAGGGTTAATTTTAAAGTGAAACCCGAACGAACTATGACGAGATTGCTGTTTTATCGATAAAATGTGACACATCGACACGTTTTTATATACTACTGCATCAATATCTCACACACACATATACAGGGCGAGGCAAAAGTACCGAAACCCCTGAATATCTCGGAAAATGTAAGTTTCACAGAAAAGTGTATCAGATAAAAGTTGTAGGATTTAAAACATTTTAGGGCTCTTCTTTCACCAACTCTAATTAACGTTAATTGATGGTTAACTCAATTATGATTGTCAACGTATGAGAATTAAACGCAATTTGTCTCAAAAGAGCAAAAGAGAGGAGGCGTTCCAATATATCAAACTACTGTTGACACTTCTTCGAGTTAATTGTCGATTAATTTAATCAGAAGTTGGTGGAAGAGGCTCTCAGGTCCATTTCCACAACTCACGGTTAACTCTTAACTGAGGATTAACTTATTCCTTATCTCTTCGTAATTCCAGAATTTGAAAGAGATGAGAAATAAATTGAACCTCGGTCCGAGTTGTGAAACTGGGCCTTACTGATTTCATTAGTTTAATCTCTCACGCACGCACTCACACACGCTACTACGAACAAATGCTACAGAATGTAGTTCCCTTAATATACCATCTAATATACCTCTTAGGACATCGTTTCTCAACTCATACGATTATAACCACGAGTACAATCATGATTGTCGTACGAGTCAAGGACTTATTTTGTAGAAGGATTAGGAAGTGATAGGGATTACTTAATTTTACAGGCAATTAAACACACACAATTCAATCATAAAGCCACTGAACAACAAATTCGTCTGCGAACCGAATTAACACCTGTAATAAACTACGAGAAGACACAACGATACGATGCTACTTATTTATTATTTATTACGCTCTAGAATGATCGCATGAACTTACCGTAGCATCCCGTGAATGATGGGACGCGAAGCGATGAACGATGTGACTGAAGACTCGCTTAACGATACCTATACTCGTCGAGTATAAGAAAACTCACTTATATTTGAATATCGTCTAATAATTGTTTTCTAAACTTAAGCGAGTCTCCAATATAAAGTCGAATAAATCTAAATTTGTTCGAATTTGTAGTAAATTAAATTAAATGGGAAATGAACGCAAACATGAAATCGCTAACGTTTTAATCGTTTTTATATTTAAAAATTAATTATTTAGTATATAAATTCACACGCAATTACTTAGAAGCACCCGTGATCCAGCTTAGATTCGCTGTGGCATTGTCTCATTCGGTTTGAAACTTAGCGGTCCAATAAGAATTGATATTGTTTTTATATTCTTTTTACACAAAAGATGATCTTATTACTTTTGATCTGCAATTATTAATTGCAGACTTGTAAGAACTTTGAAATTTTTTTACAGACAGCTTTTTACTAGCCATGAGAGATTTACAAGAAATCTCTAGATACTTATATCAACAATCGTGCGTCTTACGAGAACAAATTACGAGTCTTACGATTCTGCTTAGAATTGACCAATTAATTGTTATTATTATAAAAAATATTTTTCTGTTCTCTTTGAGTGTGAGATCACTAAATGTATGTATGTGTTTCTCTGCGATAAACAATGATATGCCGCAGACTGTATTAAGTGCTGCAATTAAATAATGCGAAAGATATGTAATAGTACACCACGCTCAATTCCGTTGCGTTCAATACAGGATTCGCTATGTTCGAAATTTCGTTTGCGAGAATGTTTCCATAAACCACAATACGTCTATGTATCATAGACGCGTTGTAACTCTCGATTTAATCTTGCAAGATTGCATTCAAGCCTCGTTGAACTCGCGAAAAAATACGCGCGTACTTAAGTTTCTTTCGTATAAATATTTATTGTTTGTATAGTTATAATTTTGTATAATTATACGTTGTTTTATCGCGATTCACGAGTTGCACGTGCTGCGAGATAACGAGGCCTTGCACTATTATACTCACGATTAGCACTTTATCAGCGGATATGTTCAATTATAAATCCATGCTTTAAAATAGAACTCTCGTAGCAGTAATTAATTTTTTCCTTTCAGGTACTTGCAACTTGAAAGATTAAGAAACTTCATAAAATATAGATATATGTTGGAGAAAAATATTTAATTGAATTAACTGAAATTCTGGCGGAAAATGAACGATCCAGAATTCTGAATCTTTATCTTCCACCAGAATTCCAGTTAATTTAACCAAATATTTTCTCCGTGATATACACATACATATAGTTATAATCTATTTACCAAAAATTAAATTTAACTTATATTTATATTAAAATAGGACTTGATTTAATTCTCTCTCTCTGAAATATCTTTCACGTAAGAATTTAAAAAAAAAACAAACCAAAGAATTAAGGAAATGAGAATGTCAGTGACTTAAGCCTCAAGTCACTAACTTACCAATTAGAAAATCGTATACACATAAAATTATTTGGCGATTTATATTTATTCATTTGTTGGGCTATAATATTTTCGTCGGCTATCTCGAGACACAAATAACGACAAAGGCAGAAATCAGACGCAGAGGATCGAGATGCGTATATCGCAAAAAAGGAATTAAGGATAATAGTGTTGGAAGAATCAGATAATTAGTGAACGTTACCTCGATACTTTCGTGGGATGCGCCTCGCAGGCGTCACCTCGATTCCGTCTCCGGTGACTGGGTTGCGCGTCGGCAATCCTCCTGTCGAGGGGATGCGGCGACGGGGGTGGCGGTTTGCGCACCGTTTGACAGCCCACGTTATCGCCGCCACGTGCGCGCAAAGCGACGTGCGTAAGAACCCACAGAGCCATTTCACCCCATGCACCGTAACATCGTCGCAAAACCCACAATCGTAACCCAACCAACTTGTGTTAATACGCGGCAATTCGTACGGACGGATCGCAGATACCGTGTTATTTTGTCCCTTCCCAAAAAGTTATCGAGATTTAAGTCAATTTTGCATACTCTACAAATACGTCTTTTTACATTATTTATCTAAACCATATAATAGTTTATTGTGTGTGAGTGTGAGTGTGCGCACGCGCATAACAGGATGTCCTAAACTATTTGACATACCGTTTGTAGGCAGGTAGACTAGAACTGAACTTAAATTGAATCGAAAAGTTTTTTATCATTTTGCAATTTTCACAATAGTTAACGAGATATTAATTCCTATAGATTGCCGAATAAGCGGATAAAATCAACGATAAGACAACTTTAGGATATCTCAGAGTTCTTTGTGAAATATCTTAACCCCGGATCTATAACAATAGAATTTTAAGCCTTAAGCCCTTATAAGAAATGGACGGATCATGATCAATTATTCTCCTCGAATTCGACTGTAATTAGTTAATTTTTTATGGCTTAAAGCTTAAAATATCTATTGTAGATCCGGGGTAAAGTTCAATGAGATGTTTTTTAAAGAATTCTTAAAGACGTCTTAGTTATTCTATGAATCGATTTTAGACATTCTTTAGATAACTATAAAAAAATTATAAAAATTACAAAATAGTAGAGGACTTTTCAGACTCCAGAAGTTCATCGAAGTGTTCATTGAGTTTCTTCGATGAACTTCTGGAAGCGTTTGTCAACAAGTGGCTTCGATTTTTATATAAATTTTTCATAATCCAAAAAATTAAACGATCGCTCGGCAAATCTAGTTCGCATTCGTGATTCGGTAACTATTCTTTTTTTTTTTTAATACGTCCTATGTTCTGTTTATTATTTCTTTTAAACAATTAGAATTATATCATTATATTTTCGGTAAACACACTGAATGAAGGTCCCACTTTGATGACCTTGGTCTTGACATATTAAAATCCTGAATAATCTCCAACAAGTTTTACCCGTCGCTCGTTATCCATTAAAAAGTTTTAATAAAGTATTAATAAAAAAAAGTTTAGTATGTAAATATATAATGTTTTATTTAACAAAGTCCCGTTAGTCCACATACATTCACAACCTTCTTTACCAATGAGAATATTTTATACAATGTATTAAATTGACTAAAAAATGAACTATTCACTTCAAATCACTTATTGTCAGCGAAAATAATTGTAGCATAATGATAAAAAAATCATTTTTTTAAAAATGTCAATAATTCGCAATTAAAGAAACTTGTTATGTCTTTAAAATGCTTTTTCAAACATCGCTTTGTGACTATTCTTTTTTGAGTTGATAAACGCCATGACATATATATTTTTTTTGTCCCTCATAATAAAAAAAATCGACATTGAAAATTGATGAACATTTTTGAAGTTTCTCTTGTTAGTTTAGTTACGAGTAGTCCGCTCTACCTGCATGCAAACAGTGTGTCAAAAAGTTTGAGATACTCTATATATATATATATATATAT